TTCCAAAACATTTTTAAATAATAACATTTCTGCATTAATGATTTAAAGTAGTTTTGCGGTAATTAAGTAAATTGGTGCAGTTAATGTCGATAAATATGAAAAGCAAATAAAAAGAATTTAATGATGTCAAAAATCACGTCGTGCTTATGCGTCATGCAGTTTTTATTCATCACAAGGCCTGATATATATATAGTTGTTTTGAATAAGTACCGGCATAGAGTGCTTAATACAGAATAGAGCAAATTATATTCTGTAAAATTAAATAATAACACCTGGTAGTTAAATATATTATATTATATTATATTATATTATTTTCTATTATATATATATATATATATATATATATATATATATATATATATATATATATCAGGCTTTCCCTGGAAAGGCGTGCGGTCGCACGCCTTGTTTGTCCACGCATAGAATAAATTTTTCTGACTAACTGACCACGTTTTATTATTATGCGTTTCAAGAATTCGCGCCAAAACAAAGCTAAATGAAAATACCGCAAAAATGCAAGCAATCTTAAAGTAAATAACAGAAATCTGTTTGTGCTTTAAAATTAAAAAATTAATGTATATTATTAAAAAAAAATTTACCTATATTTTATTTATTTATTTTTTTAGGGTGGTAGTTATTTTAGCTATAAAAAATCAAATGAATAAGAAAAATCAAATCAAAAAGAAAAAGATTAATGTTTAAAGAAAATAAAAGGACCTTTTAATGTAAAATTTGTTTATGACTTTTATCAGTCAGTAATACTTTAAAATTCACGATAGAACTATAAACAATTTTCAAATGTTTCGTAAATACATTTAAATGTTTAAATGTATTGATTTAAATGTTTGAATGTATTGATACGCAAGAAAACATAAAAACAAGGCGTGCGGCCGCACGCCTTTCCTGGGAAAGCCTTTTATATATATATATATATATATATATATATATATATATATATATATATATATATATATATATATATATATATATATATATATATATATATATATATATATATATATATATATATATATATTATTTTAAAATTAAAACAACATTTTTGAAAATAATTATTTTAAAAAATTTCAAAAATAATATTCATTTCGAAAAAAAATTGTTATTTTTGGTTTTATTATATAAAATATTGCGTTTTGTAACAAAATATATAATTTTGCTTCATTTGGGTACCAGGTTGACATATTTTAAAAAAAAATTTTTTTTTTTTTTAAATATTAGGGACCCATTAAATATTTGAGGAATTTGGGGACCCCTTAAAATATTATTTATTCAAAAAAGATAGATAGAACACATTAAGGGGGTGAGAGCAGATTATTTTCAAAAATGTTGTTATATGGGATACCCTAATATACCCTAAAACAGTTTACGGGAGCAATTTATGGCTCTCCCAAAAGTATAACTTTTCTCACAAAAGTATAATTATCATTGAAACTAAAATAAAAAACACAATGTTATTTTAAAAAAAGTTAATTGCATAATATACTGCTATGCATTTTAAAAATCACGATTGTTGCAAAAAAAAATTAAAATCAAAAAAGAGCGCCGATTAGGGATCACTAGTTTACGGTATACTAAAATTTTAGTATACCGTTTACACTATAGTGTACTTTACAGTATACTATAGTGTAAACGGTACTTTGTATAGTATACCGTAAGTATAAGTCAGTATACTATAGTGTAAACTATACTTTGTATAGTATACCATAAAGTACACTGTAAAGTATACCAATGATGTCATTGCAGTAAACAACTTTTTTCACTTAATAATTTTGTTAGCGAAACTATAAGAAAAGTTAAAAAATGTTATTGTTCAGTCACAAGAGGACCAGACACATTTTTTTAATTTCCCAACCCCGTCCTTAGCTAAATATTCAAATTAGCATTAGGTTAAAAGTTTTTATTAGATTTGATATATAACTGATTTTAAGTAAGAACAAAAATATATTTAAAGACTTTTATAAGTAATAACTTAAGTAATTAAATAAAAAGCGTTGATCAAAATCCACTACTTACTTGAACAAGCATTTTAAAAATAAGTTCTGGTGTTTTCAAATAATTTTAGAAGAATAGAAACAGCAGAAACTTATCACATGACACAAAACTCCTCCTCTTTTTGCAATTTTTGTAATCTTATAAAACTATGGAGCCCTAACCTTGTTATAGATTCGTTGGCCATCTGGACTTTGTCTGCTCTCTATCTTTTTAGGATGCCTTTGAGACAGCAAAATAAACATAATTGGGTGGAAGAATAAATAAATACTAAAGTAAACAAAAACATTTATATTTTCATTTAAACAAAATTCGACTAATATTTTTCGATGATTTAAAGATTTATCGATGTAATATAAAGATTTTTAAAACTCCTTAGTAATTAAATAAAGCATTTAGTTAACCAACTGTGACAATAAATCAATTGTATCACCTGAAGTCTCTAAAGTGAAATCAACATTAACACCAACCTCATCACTCTCATTGTGATCACTAGTATTACCAAGCATTATATCAGCAATATTTGCTTCTTTTTTGTGGAGTGTTGCATTTGCATACATAAAGACCAAGCCAATTGCTTTATCATTTGCAAGTCGGTTTCTTCGCTTTGAATGAATAAATCATACAAACTCCATATTCGCTCACTTGCAGCTTGAGAAGTTGGAATAGTAAAGACTATTCATGCAACCTTTGCTAAATTTGGAAGTTTACTTGCACCCTCAACTCCCCACCAGATATCAGGATCCATTAATTTAATCCGAGTTGCAAAATCTGGAGTTGGATTTGCACATAGTCTCTGAAATGATTTTATTTCTTTTTTTGAAATTTCATAATTGCAAAGTCCTCTTGTTTCAACTATGTACTTTGGAAGCAACTCAAGTGCAATAACAAGATCACTTTTGCTAGATGGAGGAGACTCAGTATACATATTTCTGCCACCATGATTTCCTGGATCAAGAAAGTATGCAAATCCCATAGATGGCGTGTGAATAAATTCCCATCTGCTTAAAACAAGAGTTTTCAATACTGCGTCTTCCTTCCATATTTCCATTAAGTTAACAAACCTATATAAACTTCAGAAAGTAGACAACTATCGGATTCCAGTTTACCTACTAATTTTGATAATGGTTTTATAACATTAAAAAAACGTTGACATTCTTCCCAAAAAAAATTGTCTTGTACAATGTTTACATAATCTGATTTTTTTTTTTTATATAGATACACGTGAGAAGGCACCAGAGTTGATTAAATTCAAATGAACTAGTTTGTTTTCAAGATTACGGGCAACAGATGTATGATGGCTATACCACCGTGTTAAAACTACATGTGATAATTCTCGCATTTTCTTCAAATTATTTTCTTGTTTAATACGATTTTGAATTATACGAAATTGATCGATAAGTTCTTTGTTTAACAAAGTGATGTTCTTTGTTTAACAAAGGCTGTCAGCTTTCCAGACTTTTGTAAAATATCCACAAACTCAGGAAGATGGCAAATATCTTTTACTAAAAGATTTATTGTATGGACAGCACAACCATTACAAAATATTTTTGGATATTTTTTTTTCAATAATATCCCATGCAGCTCTCATGTTTGATGCGTTATCAGTAACAATGCTTGTAACTTTATCAACACCTATTTCGAGAATTACATTTTCTATGCGTTTTGCAATATTAATGCCAGTTTGCTGTTCTTGACCAATAGGCTCAATTTTGTAAGCAATAAGTTTCATAGTCCTATTTTCAAAATGAATTGAATAATTAACAAGATGATTCACATTAATGTTTGAAAATCCATCAGTCACTATACTAACGTATTCAGAACTATCAACATATTCTTTTATTGCACGTTTTTCATCATTTAATGCATCATTATAATGACGCCCACTTATACATTTACTAGATGGAGGTTTATATGCAGGTCTAAAATTAGCATGATGTTGCTTCCATGCAGAAGAATCAGCTAATACAAAAGGTTCTCCTGTATGGAAAAATGTCCTTGCATATGATTTATGTATCTTTTTAATGTCATCTTTGCTTATAGTGTCAAAGTATGAATTTAGCATTGTTCTTTTAGCAGGCTGCCCAGATTCTTTGAAAACTAAATTTTCAGAGGTTTGTGAAGCCATATTATCATATCCTTTTGTTTCAACTATAACACTCTGAACTTCTTTTTTTTATTTTTTTAAAGCACAACTTAACCTCATCAGATGTTTTTCTACATCCTCTCAAATGCTGCTCCCATCTCAATGTTGATTTTGCTGTAATTTGTTTATTACAATATTTGCAATAAATTTTTCTTGTTGAACCTTTTCCAAAAAAAGAGATATGTTTGTAAATTTGTTCTGACATTAAATATTTTACTTCAAGGTAAGAGCAAATATGTTACTTTTATACATACAATAAACAAATAACAAAGAACAAAAAAGAAATTTAAGTTTAAATAAATCCAAAAACCTTTCAAAAGTTAAATTACAAAAAAACAACACTTTAATAAATAATAATTCTTTTAATACTACTATAAATAATACTATATTTATTGTTAATAAATATTATATTATTTACCTAAATTTATTTACCTAATTAGTATAGTAATTTTTAGTATACCAACTATACGGTAAAGTATACCGTAAAGTTAGTATACCGTATACTGTAGCAGCTTGCACAGCTCGCCAAGTTCGTTTTAGGAGAGCTTTTCTCCGCTCTCGTGCTCATTTATTCCCGCCGAGGCCTGTATATATATATACACAAAATTAAATACACTTTATGTAAAAACCATTAAATTTAATTGACAAAACTCATTAAATTTTGTGGTTTTTTAAAACCCACAAAAATGTAACTTAATAACTGGAATGTTTTTTTATTTTTTTAAAATAAAATTCTAAATGTTTTTATTTTTTTCCTTTTTTATGTACAGTTTTGTTTAAATAGTACACAAAATGATATTATTTCTAAAGACAAGTTTAATAATTATATTCCATTTTTGAATTTAAGATTGCACAAAGAAAAGAAGGTTTATGAAAAGGAACTTATCCAACAAGAAGAAAATATTTTAAAGATGAAAAATGACGGTGCAGATGAATATGATATAAGGAAACAGGTTCACAATTCAAAAAGTTTTTAACTTTAATTTTACTCATGTGTAACTGTTAATAAGACATCAACCATGAGGAATGTTAAAGATTGCAACATTTGTAACTCTTATGAGAAATTTAAAAAATGCTGGCGTTTGAAATATTTTATAGACATTTTTTAAAGACATTTTTAAAGAATTTTTTTAAATATGTTAATTATACAGTAACTTAATTTTAGTTCAAATTTTTTGGTAGGTTGAAGTCAAAAATGAGTCTGCTGCCATGATACCAGATAGTATAAGACGTCTAAAAAAAGCTTGTGATGATTTAGTCAATTTGTTAGTAAGTTATTTTTTCTTTATTTCTTTATTTCATTTGTATTGAGAAGCATTATTTTTATCTTGTTTAATATTCCTTTTTATACCACCTGCTTTTACACAGCCCTATTTTTACACTTCTTTAAGAAGCAATATTCACATTGTATTTTAATTCTAAAAATATTACTTTAGTAAAAACTTTATGACTTTAGTTCAAATTTTGTTTAAATTTTAACTAAACTTTAGTTTAAATTTTATGACTTGTTCATTGACTCACAAAGTCATTATAATTAGCATCATTTACTTCATATTTTCTATAACAATGTTATTTAAATTATCTTTTGACCAGCCTCTGTTTTTTAAATATTTTTCAAATAAACAAATTCATTCGTTTTTACTTCAAGAGTAAAGATTTTTATCTTTATTGTATGTGAAAAAATTTTCCCAAAAACTTTTGATTAAAGTATAAGTATATTAATTTAAATAAAATAATAAAATTTAAATGTAAAAATATTAATTAAATAAGAACATAATGAAATAAGTGAAATCTTTTTGTTTTAAAAATATTTATTTAATATAATTCTTTAATGTTGCAGGAAACTGAAAACGATCTTTCAGAAGTTGAGGAATACATTGCTGCTCAAAATGTGCTTCAAGAAGCCACTGCAGAGTTAAATTGATTCATTTCTTAAAGGAAATTGTTTTTGAAAATTCTACAGAAGTTCAGATTATCTTTTAGTACTAAAAATTAAAAAAATATTATATACTAGTTATTGTGATTTTTTTTTTTTTTGTATAATTACCTAGATGTAACATATTTTCTTCTAGTATTCTTTATCTTTATGTCGAATCATTTTATTAGTTGGTTTATGTATTTATTTTATTGTCATTTATTGTCAAAGATAAATAATAAAATTATTGAGTTTTTTTTTTTTTTTTTTTTCTTGTTTCTTGTTTACTTGAATTTACAGTTGTTTTTTAAACTTTCATTTTTCAATAAAAGCTTAAAAAAACAACTTTTTAAAGATTTTGTAAATTGCTTGTGATTGATTGTTGATACTTGTGATTGTTGATGCTTGTGATTGTTGATACTTGTGATTGTTGATGCTTGTGATTGTTGATACTTGTGATTGTTGATGCTTGTGATTGTTGATACTTGTGATTGTTGATGCCTGTGATTGTTGATACTTGTGATTGTTGATGCTTGTGATTGTTGATACTTGTGATTGTTGATGCTTGTGATTGTTGATGCTTGTGATTGTTGATACTTGTGATTGTTGATGCTTGTGATTGTTGATACTTGTGATTGTTGATACTTGTGATTGTTGATGCTTGTGATTGTTGATGCTTGTGATTGTTGATACTTGTGATTGTTGATACTTGTGATTGTTGATGCTTGTGATTGTTGATACTTGTGATTGTTGATGCTTGTGATTGTTGATGCTTGTGATTGTTGATACTTGTGATTGTTGATGCTTGTGATTGTTGATACTTGTGATTGTTGATGCTTGTGATTGTTGATGCTTGTGATTATTGATACTTGTGATTGTTGATACCTGTGATTGTTGATGCTTGTGATTGTTGATGCTTGTGATTGTTGATACTTGTGATTGTTGATGCTTGTGATTGTTGATACTTGTGATTGTTGATACTTGTGATTGTTGATGCTTGTGATTGTTGATGCTTGTGATTGTTGATACTTGTGATTGTTGATGCTTGTTATTGTTGATACTTGTGATTGTTGATGCTTGTGATTGTTGATGCTTGTGATTATTGATACTTGTGATTGTTGATGCTTGTGATTGTTGATGCTTGTGATTGTTGATGCTTGTGATTATTGATACTTGTGATTGTTGATGCCTGTGATTGTTGATGCTTGTGATTGTTGATGCTTGTGATTGTTGATACTTGTGATTGTTGATGCTTGTGATTGTTGATACTTGTGATTGTTGATGCTTGTGATTGTTGATGCTTGTGATTGTTGATGCTTGTGATTGTTGATGCTTGTGATTGTTGATAGTTAATGCTAGTGATGGTTAACTGTTGATGGTTGTAATTGTTGATTGTTGATGCTTTTGTTATTACATATTTATATTAGTTTAAATTCTGTACCTTTTGTTAAAAAACACTGTAAAACTACTGCATCAATTAGTTTAAGATGTATTTGGTTATTTAATGCTTGATTACTCTTGTATTTCTAAATAGTTTTGATATTTTTTTTAGTTTAATAAAATAACAAAGACATGATTTTTTAATTTTAAACAAATATTTGTCAAAAATACTTGTGATGCGTTTCAGCAAAACTATTAAAATGTCAACATTGTTTATGTATTCAAACAAATGTGTTCTAATACCAAGATATATGGTGCATTTGACATCTTCTCTTTGTTGCATCAAAAGAACCTGGCTTCACACTGTGCCTGTCCAGGATGATTATACATGCGAAAATTTAATAAAAATTTACAGAAAGCAATCAAAGATTTTTAAAGGTTTTTTTTTTGAGTAAAAATTTTAAAAAATGATTTGAGTTGAAAATTTTGTTATACAAATCAACTGCAATAAAAGAGGTTATTAATTTCCTTAAGTCTACCACAATAAAAGAGGTTACTGACATGACTGAAGATACAATGAAGGAGGGTTTCATTTATTTTTCAAAAAACAAAAAAAAAATTTTTTTTATAGAAGATCCCTTAAGAATCATAAAGAGTGAAAAGCATGCTATTTTTGTGAACAATGAAGTAAGTTTTCGCCACATTAATGTCTATGGTTTTGACTATGATTATACATTAGCAAGTTATTCTGATGATCTTCATGAAACTACCTATATTATGGCTATGCAAACACTAATTAACAAATATGGAGTAAGTCATGCAACAATATTGTTCATTTGTATATATATATATATATATATATATATATATATATATATATATATATATATATATATATATATATATATATATATATATATACATATATATATATATATATATATATATATATATATATATATATATATATATATATATATATATATATATATATATACATATCAGGCCTTGTTTTAAATAAAAAATGCTAAATGCATCAGCTTAACGCGACATTTGACATAAATAAATTCTCTTTATTATTATTTTTTTTTTATAACGTTAACTTTTTTAAATTACTGCAATAATATTAATTACCGCAAAACAATAAAATTTAAATATTGAACAATACTTTGTAATATTTAAAAATAAATTTGACAGTTGAGTTTAACCCTAGCATTAACTTTAATTTTAATAAACTTGAATTTATTTTTTAAATCAAAATTAAATTTTTTTTTTTTTTATCAGAATAAAATTATATATTTTTATGAAATTAGTTTTAAATTAAATCATATATTTTTTATCAGAATTAAATTATGTTTTTATTGACTTTGCTTCAAGCTTGAAAAATCAATCTTTACAATAAAATAAAAACAAAATAAAAATAAACTTTTAATTTTATTTGTGGTTTTTCTTTAGTAACATTTTCTTTATCCAACATATTTGTCATTCAAACTTTTGTAACAAATATTTTTACATAAATGTCATTCAAAAGTTAAGGTGGCTTTTTTCAAATTAATTACTTCTTTTATCTTGCCGCTTATTGAATAATTTAAAAGTTTAAAAATTATAAAAAGTTGCTTTACCGAAATTGCTTACTGCTTACGTAAAATCGCTTAAGGCGTACGCCTTAATGTATATATAATGATATATATATATATATATATATATATATATATATATATATATATATATATATATATATATATATATATATATATATATATATATATATATACACTTTAAAGTTTAAAAATAGTTTTTTTAAATTAATTTTTGTTTTTTTGTAAAATTTATACTTCTGACTGTTTTATAGTATCCGCCAAGCATCCAAGAATATAAATACAATCCTGCTTTTCCAATTAGAGGTCTTCATTTTGACTCAGACAATGTAATTTAATTTCACTTCTGTTAGCTACTGTTAGCTTTTATAGTTATCTACTGTTAGTTAATTAAGTCATTTAACCATAGTTTTTTAAATTCTACAGGGTTATATGATGAAATTGGATTGTTATAGTCATGTCCAGCTTGGTACTGTGTACAAGTAAGCAAGTTTTATTTCCTTGTTGAATAGATATTGTTGATTGTAGCTGAAAATTAGTTACTTTTATAAATTTACAGCTTTTTAACCATGTAAATTTATGATCTCCCCAATAATGTTTTTTTCAATCTTTTAAATCATTTAAAAATTAGAGGTTGGCAACAAGTAAAAGATCAAGATGTATTGCAACAGTATTCTGGCACTTTGATTCATGTGGATAAAATCAGCAAGGGAACCAAGGTTGTTTATATTATATTTAAAGTTTTCAAGTGTTTTTTTATTTGTAAATTCTGCTGTTATGTAGCTGACTGCTATGATGTTCATTGCTACATAGTTGACTAGTATGCAGTTGACAAGTATATAGTTGAGTGTGTATAGTTGAAGAAATGTAATTGACCAGTACGATTGTTTTAATTGCCTAAAACTAGAATAAGTTTAAATGTTTGAGCTTCTTTGTAAGATTTAATTTGGAATTGAAAGGGTGTAATTGGTTAGAATTGAAAGGGTGTAATTGATTTTTTTCATTATATTTTTAAATTACCAAGTTATAAAACTTTTTTGTATGGTAAAAACAGTTTTGTGTGGTAAGAAAATTAAAAAAAAAAAACATAAAATTTTAAAAATTAATTTTCATAAGATTCAGTCATCAAGAAATTCTTTTTATCTCTGTCTTTGTTGTTCAATACAAAACTTTGAGTTTATCTTTGTTGTTCAATTTTTTTTTTAGAAGCATGGAACTACCATTCATCAACAAATGGATTTGTTCTCTATCCCATTTTTGTCATTACTTTCTAATGTTATTGAGGTATTATTTAGATAGAGTTGTTTTATAAAATTACCAAAAAAATATCAAATTTTATTTTAAAAAGAAAAATATCAAACTTTTGAATATTTTTTTTAGTGATGCTCTGAAAGTTTTGAATTTTCTTCTTCTAGTATTTCCTTCAGAAAAATATAGATTTTGATCCTGGCTATGTCTATTATGATGTTGAGGCAAGTGTTTCAATAATACTTTTATTTGTTTCTGTGAGTTTATTACAACATTGCTAATATAGTATAAATATATCATATTTTAAAATAATTTATTTATATAAGTGGTTGTTTTGAAAATCATGATATATTTATGTTTATGATTGTTTTGAAAATCGTAAAATATTTATATCAGTTGATCACTTGTTATCACATAAATAATTTATGCATTCAAGACATCACTATTAACACATATTGAAAAAATGTGTTTGAATAATTTTCATAATAAGGTATATATTATCTTTAGAAAGCTATCCAAGACATTCATATATCTGGACAGCTTCACATGGAAATAATGAATGATTTAGGTAATCAATCTTGAATTGTTTTTATAGTTTTACTGTTTTACGCATTTATCTTCCCATGGTTAGTTATTTTACTTTCTATTTTAAGGTGTTTTACATGGTAAGCTGGCACTTTTAAACACATTTCTTTCTTTCCATTATCTGCTTATTTCATTTTTTTTTTTTTTTTCATTGTCACTTTCTCATCACTTAACAATAGAAATTATTTTTCTTCTCGCAAACATTTTTGTAATATTTTTTCTTTCTCGTTTTTATTTTAAAAATCATTAAAAATATATATATATATTTTTCTTCTCACAAACATTTAAAACATTTAAAAGTATATATATTTTTCTTCTCACAAACATTTAAAACATTTAAAAGTATATATATTTTTCTTCTCACAAACATTTAAAACATTTAAAAGTATATATATTTTTCTTCTCACAAACATTTAAAACATTTAAAAGTATATATATTTTTCTTCTCACAAACATTAAAAAAAGATTATTTCTCTTCTTGCAAACATTTTTAATATGTTATTAAAATTAGTTTTTTTTTGCAACTCGTACAAAAAGATAATTTTGATAAAACCTGGGATGAACTGTGAGAATTTATTTAATTTTGAGAATAAATTTAAAAACTGAAAGTTTTTTCAAAAGAAATTTCAAAAAAAAAGAAAGTTTTTTTTTTTTTGGCTAGCTAATTTTTACTAGCTCTATACAGGGCTTGATTAGGTACTTTATAGACTTGGAGCATAATATAATCTTAAATATTGTAGGTATATATATACCAGGAATTTCTGTAGCCTAAACATTTTCTTTAAAAAATTAGTTGTCAAACAAAGCGTAGTTTACTGCTAAAAACTAATTCAAATTAATAATTGTATTAGTAATAAATACAGAAAACAAAATGTTTGTTTTTCTGTACTTCTTAGTTGCAAAGCATTTGATTATGCAAGTTAGGTTTAGATTTTTCATCAAATTCAATACAGAGATAAGAAAGATTTGTTAGCTTTTCTTAACCAATTGTCATGTTCAAATAAATTTTAACTTATTTCAGAATGTTCTCTTTCACAAGAAGTAGCCAAGATGCTCAAATCTGAAATACAATCCATACATTTGGGAAAGCGACAGTTAAATTTTTTGAAATAATATACTGCAACATTTGTTCCACTGATTTTACTTACATTTTAAATTGTTTTATTCAAGAGATTTTTATATACATCGAACTTGTATTTACTTTTAATGTATGACATCACAATACTAACCAATTAATAAACAAATGTAAACAAATATAAACTGTTTTCAGTTGCATATACTTCTGAGTATATGCAACTCTTTGAAGAAAATTAAAGAATTTAGGTTTTAAAGCCTGTTTACTTGGTAGAAAACTAAATTAACAGCTGCTATAAAAACAAGTCTAAAATATGAACTTCTGGAGATTGGTACAATGATATTATTTGTCACAAATGATACATCTAATATAAATTTTCTCCAAAATAAAGAAAGCACATACATTTAGGATGTTTGTTTTTTTTCCTTCTAATTATGGTTTTTATTTCAGTTTAAACATTCAGAGTTTTATTCAGGTTTTATTAAGTTTACTCCTTTGAAGGTTTTACTAAGTTCACACACTCCTTTCCAGATTTTATTCAGCTATCTCTCCCAGAATCCTATCAGTCCTGGCACTCCTTCCCAGATTTTATTTAGACAAGCGTTTTCTTTGGGTTTTCACACAAGTTGTCTATTTATCCATTAACATTATTCATAAACAACTTTACTTATTCAATAGAAAATTTAATAAGCAAAAAGCTAAAAAAGTTTTTATTGTTTATAAAAAATATTTTTTTTTTACTGTAATAGAATGCAGGATGTTTAAGAATTATTACAATGATTAAAATTACTACAACAAATAAAGTTTAAATAAAAGTGTTTATATAATTAAAATTTTTTTTCAATTGTGCATTATTTTTTATTTTGCTCTAATTAAGTTAAATTTATATAATTCATTAAATATGATATAGGATAAAGTAATCTAACTTAACTTTAAAGTAGTCTAACTAAGTAGTGACCCTTATATATTTTGGTGATTATTTTTATGTAAATATTACATTTTTATAAAAAAAAAGTTTTATAAAATAGTTGCAGATTGTTTTGTTCAAGAAACATTATAAATCATGAAGTTTAGTTCAAAAAACATCATTTGTTGCTCTCAACTAAAATAGATTTAAAGAAATATATATATTTTTTTAAATATAAGCTGAAATAAAATATAGACTTCATCAGAGAGTTGAAATGTGTAATGGTTGTCCGAGAGTTGAAATCTGTATTGATTGTCAGAAAGTTGAAATCTGTATTGATTGTCAGAGTTGAAATTTGTAATGTGTCCTATAACAACTTGCCACTCACAACTCATTAAATCGTAATATTTATTCAACTTTTGAATAAAATAATTATAATTATTTAATTATTATTAATTTGTTTAATCACAACAAAATGTCATTCTTACTTCTTTTTTGTCTCTCTTCTTTTTTTGTTATGCTTTTTGAGTTTTTTAGGTTTTTGTTTTGTTATCATTTTTATGTGGCTTTAGCGTTTTAGTCATTTTATCCTCAACTAAAGCTCAATCAACAAGAGCAGGTTGCACATTTAAGGACCTTCTATTACTTTTCTAATTGTTTTAGGCGATTAAACTATTGTACGAATACTTGGTGCCAACCCTTATGATTTAGGTTCCAGGTTTATGAAAAGCAGGTTTTTCGACGTTTGTGCAATTTAAAATTTCACAGGTATAAAAAGCTACTTGCAGGATAATACTAGAGTTGAAAGGCTAGATTGCTGTAAATCTGAATCCTGATATGGCATTTACTGGTGTATGGGTACCCAATGATGCTTTAGTAAATAATAGCAGAAACTGCAGTTTTCACAGTTAATGTCAACAGAATTTATCAATGGCAGAATTCTAGTTTTCAGGACTACAATGGATGTTTTTCAGCTCAATTACATCAATATCCAAATGACTGCAATATCTGTCAAAAATCAATAAAGCTTCTCCAGGTAATTGGTGCTGGTTTAAACGATGCAAAAAAGTACATAGTTCTTTCTTTAGTAATATATCCTTTTGGAGTCAAACCATAAATACTTTCAAGGGGCAAATTATACCTGAACTCATGTTTTGAATTTTGATACAAGTAGTGTGGTTGTTACTTTAATAAAGGTTTTTTTTATCAATTTAAATATTTTCTTTTTTCATATAATTTTTTAAACACTTTCATTAAATTAGTTTACAGTAAATTATAATTATAGTAACTCAGAAATTATTGATTTGACAATGGTTCCTAGATGTTTTCATGGAGTCCTGACAATGGTTCCTAGATGTTTACACTGAATATTAGTTGAGTCAACTTTGAAAAATGAAATGGTGTCATAAGCCGCCAGCATTATTAGACTATTTTAGCCTATAAAGTATATAATTCATTACATAATATAAAAATTAATATGCAAAATTTAGTGCGTAATAACTTTATATCATATAATTAGCTAGTATAAAATGAGTTTGAGAAAAATAAAAAAAGTTAAAACATTTAAAAAGAATATTTTACTTTTTCAAACATTAAAAAATGTTTAACATTATAAACATTATAATTATTATAAAATTATAAATATTATAAACAGAATTTAACATAATAACTTTGATATATATAGGCATTGACTGATTCACGACAAAATATTATCACTTAATTTGTTCATAATGCCATTTTTATAAAAAAAAAAAAATTTTAATTTTTATTTAACTAATCAATTAGTATAATCTAATTAAAAACATTTGCGATTGGCGCTCTTTTTTAATTTCTTTTTTTACAATAACTGCGTATAACAATAACTTTAAAAATGCATTGCAGTTTATTATGCAATTATTGGTTTTATTCGAAAATGATTGTTTTGTGCTTTTTATCTTCAATACAACGATAATGTTTTTTATCTTCACTACAACGATAATACTTTGCTAACTTGACCATGTTGTCATTAATGCTGTAGTTATATTACAATGTATTTCACAACTTTTTAAGAAAAAACATCACTCTGCATTGCATGAGTTTGAAATGAAAAGAAAAATTTCTTTTTTTTTTTTAGTAATTCTTTAACAACTTTATATTGTATTTTTGTAATATTTACATTTTATAATAATTATTTATCAAAAGATCGTTACTTACCAAAAAACCGTTACTTGGAAGCATATTTAGAGCGCTTGGTTAATTCTAGTAAAAAACTTTTTATTATCACAAACAGTGGCTTTACATTTGTGTAAGGGAATTTTTGTTATAATTATATAATATAATAATAATCATTATTTACTTTTCTAAAATTTTATAACTGAATTTTTTAAGAAGTATTAGTATGAAGCATTATTTGGAAATTGTTGAAGAGATTTATTTTTTAATTGAATTTTTTAAGAAATGCTGGCATGAAACATTTATTTGGAAATTATTGGAGAGATTTATTTGATGTGGTTATTGTAAGAGCAAGAAAACCAAAATCTTTTGTGGATACAGAAAGGTAAAAAAAAATTAACAAAAAATTACATGTGTAAAATGTAATCCATGCTCCATATGAAAGGAAGCCTATAGTTTGTTTCTATGTTTCATATGAAAGGAAGCTTTTAGTTTGTTAGATAATTTAAAAATATTGTTTAGCTCTTTTCGTCCTTTTCGTACAATAAATTTGAATACTGGTAAATATCATTGGGATCAAGTACATAGTTTTGAAAAGCATGGTGTGTATGCAGAAGTGAGTTTTTATTACATTTATTTATACAAAGCCATTCAAAATTGTATTACTGTCAAATTTAGTTGAATTTTTTTTTTTTTAATTACTGTCTCCAGCTATATCTATACCTATATATATATATATATATATATATATATATATATATATATATATATATATATATATATATATATATATAGATAGATAGATATATAGATAGATATAGATAGATAGATATAGATATATATATATATATATATATATATATATATATATATATATATATATATATATATATATATATATATATATATATATATATATATATATATATATATATATATGTGTGCTTAAGCAAAAATGATATTCAACAATATATATAAAAAATATATAAAAATAGTTAACAATAACATGTTTAAATGATTAATTAGGGGCAAAGTTACTATCAACTTCAAGAACTGCTTCCCATTTACTTTGCAATCCAGGCCTTGTTTTAAATAAAAAAGTGCTTAATGCATTAGCTTAACGCGCTTTTGACGTCATAAAATTATCTTTATTTTTTTTTATAGATGTTAAGTGTTTTAACTACCGCAATAAATAAATAACCGCTAACTAGTTCAATTTAACAATTAACTCAAATAACTATAAACATTTTAAATGTAAATTTATTATGAAAAGTTTGTTATGTTTTCAATTGTTATTTTAATATTAACTTTAGTTCAATATTATTTAGTAATATATATAATATATATATATATATATATATATATATATATATATATATATATATATATATATATATATATATATATATTTTTTTTTTTTTTTAATTATTTCTGAAATTTGTTTTTGAATAATAATTGTTTATAAATTGTTATTGAACATAAAATAAAAATGATTTTTTTTTTTTTAAATTTCTGGAGTAAACAAAAAATATTAACATTGATAAACAAAAACAATGTGAATTATTTAAACAGCGTTTTTGTTTTTGACTAGCAAAGAATAGTTTAGGTTTTTAAATATTTTTTAAATTTATCTTGCTTGGCATTTCAACTTGCGTTATATAAAAATATAAAAAAGTTTTTTCTGCTTTGAGCATATTTTTGATACATAGTTTAGAACGCCAGGAATTTAATTCATAAATTTTTTATGTTATTGTAAAAATGTTTTACATTTTAAACAAATCACAAAGAAACAGAGCATACAAAAAACAGATTGATAGTTTAGAGAAAAAACACTTTTAACAATTAAAACTTTTTTTTTTAAGTTTTAGGAAATTAAAAAAAAAATTAAATTAAATATAAAAGTCTTAATTATGCAAACTCTTTTGTTAATTATTCTTAAAACAAAAAACAAATACTTCTACGCAAAACTTTAATCGTGCAAACTTAAAAAAATACTCAACTAAAATAATATTATAGTATATTTAATAATATTAAAGTATATTTAATAATTTGAATCGTATCTGTTTATAATAAACGTTCGTAAAAATTTGTTTATTAAAACTTAGGTTCCTTAACTTATAAACAAACTCAAAAGTATTTTTATTCTACGTATAATTACAAAACGCTTTTTTTTTTCGTTTGTAAGCAATTTAACTTAATAAAATAAAAAAAGAATAGATATGAGATAATCTTTGTTAAGAACAAATTTAATTTATTTATTGAACTATATTTTTATTTTCATTTATATATCAACTTAATTAAAATATAGTAACATGTTAAAATATTTTAACATGACTTGTGTTATTTATAAACCGCAGGGCAGCTGCCCTTACGGCACCATTGTTTTTGGATAATATTTTATTTTGATGAAGATCAAATAACTTACATTTGATTTTAATACCGTAAGTCTTCACTTTTTCTGTGATCATCGCATCGGCAAAGTCCCAAGGTTTAAAAGTTTTTAAAGCAAATCTTTTGTCCTTCAAAATACAATCCATATTCGAACTTTAAACAATTTAGAGAGAATAGAAATATACAAGGTCTTTATATACTAGTTTGTCTTGTTTTATAAAGAAAAATACATATTCATTAGTAAAAAATAGAGACTGTCATTAAACTAAAACGTGCCTTAGTATTTATTTAACGAAATCTGTAATGTGCGCGTGCATAATGAAACCTCCGTTATATAAATATATTCAACGTAATATTAGTGTCATCAGCGGATGTTATAGTCTACTCGTGATTTCATTACCTTATAATATAACTTGATTTATGAAAAAAACTTATTGAATCGCACGCAGAAGAAATTGAACAAATTTTCTTTATTCAAAAATTGTGAGTAACAGGTAATTTTTTTTTTCTGTGCCGACCCCTCTCCTCCCGCATAACTTAAAGGTAAAGGTATCTATATACCTTTAACTAATAAGAAAAGCAAAGAGTAATAATAATTTTTAGAAAAATACAAATAAATCGTTCATTCATTGGCACATTTTTTTAATATCTCAAAAAATTGTCTTGATATTTTTGTTCGTGATATAAAAATATTAAGACATTTTTTGACATATTAAAAAAAATGTCAATCCTTAATTACAAATTTTTTTGCAAATGTTTTTTTATTATAAATTCAGTAAAAACTCTTAAAAAATCTATATTAAAAATCTATATAAAAAACATTTATATTCTGTTATTAATAAATATGGAATATAGATTTTTTAAAATTTTTTTACTGAAAACTTTAAAAAATTACTACTTTTTATTGAAAACATTGCAAAAAATTTCTAGTTAAGGATTGATGAACAGCTTTTTATGTTGCTAAATATTTGGATAAAAAGTTTAGCGTAAAATTATTTGCTATAAAATGGTAATGATATATAATGATATAAAATATAATGATATATAATGGTATATCGCGATGAAAAGTTACAACAATTATTTTTAATGTAAATTCTTTTTAGTAATAAATATCTTTACATATTGTTTAAAAGTTAATGTGGTTTTTTTAAAAATTAATCACTTCTTTTATGTTACCCCTAATTTAAAAGTTAAAAAATGATAAAAAGTAGCTTAACCAAAACAGCTCTACGCGTACGTAAAAATTGCTTAAGGCATAGGAAAATTGCTCTAGGCGTCACACTTTAAAACAAGGCCTGCAATCAATTGACTCCATAGGCAAAGTAGTTACAATTGGAGACACATTTTAACATCTGCCACCAAGTCTTCTAAATCATTATAAATTTTGTTTGCTTTGTTGTTTGTTTTTTTACGTTTTTTAACAACTGATTGACATGGTTGCCTGTCTATGGGAGTATATGTTGTCTCTAATGGATTCCATCCATAGTGACAACATTATGTTTAAGAGAACAATGAGGGTTAGTGACAATGAGGACAGGTATTATTGTGGTGGAAGATGATTTGGTTTATTATTCGTAATCGTTTTTCTTCAATTGCGAAATTGAAAATTGCGTTTTCTTTCAATTTCATCAGTTTGAAGGTGATCAAGTTGAGCTAGATAGATGTTGCTGTTAATGTTGGAATGCCTCTTGCTGGTTTTTTTTTGAATTCACCTCTGCGACAAGGTTCTTCAAAAATAAAGCTTGCTCATTTCATTGCAGCAAAATAATAAAAATGTGTATGTGTTCGATTTGTTGTTGTCAGAGAGTTTATGGGGGACTCATCTAACCAATTTCCACACTCTTTTTTTTTTTGAAACAATCATTAAGACAAGCTTTTTGAGATGATCATTGGCTTGTTAAGTCATCAGTTAGCATTTGTGTTTGTTGAACTCCGATGATTATTCTTTATCTGCAAGGTTTGTGTTGCCCATTTTAAACTGGTTAAACCATTTTTCACCTTGACTTTTGTTAATTTCTCCTGTGCCAAAAAGTTAGTTGAGATTGTGAAATGACTTTGCCGCCTTTCAACCTTTCACCACAATATGCTATCAAAATGATAGCATATTGTGGTGAATGTTGATATTATTTCTGTAAATGAAAGAAAAAGATTTTAATAAAAAATTAATAAACAAAACACAAATATTTTCAAAAGAAGAATGAAAAAACTCTGCAATAATTATGCCTAAACCTAATCTTATCTTAGAAGAGTCTTTGGCAAAAAAAAAAAAAAAGTATTGTACTTTATTCTAAAAATGATGCATAAATAAATTTGTATTCACTTTATTTATAGTTTCACAAACTTAAATTTTTTAATTTATTGTTCAAGTTAAAGTGTTAATTGTAAAAATTTCTTTATTAGTATTTTGCATAATAAAATAAAACCATTATGGAAAATTGGCATCAAAACAATGTAGACTAGACAAAAAAAATTCTTATAATGTCACATTATTTGCATTTAAAAATCATAATAAAAACAAACAGGGATGACGACACAGGTTTTGAAGTGGGGGAGGGGGCACAATTGTCATTTTCTAAAAAAAGTTCTCTTTATCTAAAATTTTCTTTAAAAAACATGATTTATATAAAAAAAATGGCCCTTTATAAAATAAGTGGGGGCTGAACACCCCCCCCCCCCCCCATTGTTTCGTCAACCCTGACAAAATAAGTTAAAAAAAGGTCAACCAACATTTAAAGTTGTATTTTGAATTATTTAATAAAAATAATGATAAAATTTCAAATTTAAATAAAAATGATTAATTGTTTTTCTTAAATGAAAATAAAAAATGAATTAATGTTTTGTATTTTTTAATGTTTTGAAATTTTTTTTTTAAAAGAATTTTCGTATTTTAATATTATAATTGTTATGTTATATATATATATATATATATATATATATATATATATATATATATATATATATATATATATATATATATATATATATATATATATATATATATATATATATATATATATATATATATATATATATATATATATATATATATATATATATATATATATATATATATATATATATATAGGGAAATGCTCGGTTGTTTTCTGAGTTTACTGGGTATGAAGGACCAAGTGTAATGTACTTTGGTGACCATGTATTTAGTGATTTAATGGTATGTTATTAGTTTTAAATTATTTGTAATTTTATTATATACTGTATTAGATTTAATGATATTAATTTTTATTTTATTTTTTTATATTTTATTATTATCATTTTTATATTATTATTATCATTCTTATATTTTATTATTATCATTTTTCAAAATGTATTGTATTTTATTAATGTATTGTAAGTTAGTTGTTTTATTTGTTGTATTTGACATTTGATTGGTTTGCATTCTGAGTCATTTGTATATTTTTTTATATATCATTTTATCATATTAAGTTATTCCATGGCTACTGCTAATTAATAAGGAGTTTTTAAACTTAATAATAATTTAATAGATAATTAAATAATTTGAAAATATTACTATTGCAACACTTAACAACTGAAGATATTGCTGTCAAAACATTTAACAGCTGTATGTATTACTGTCAAATTTAGTTGATTTTTTTTTTTTTTTTAAACTGTTTCAATCCCTAGCTAGCACACTTACATTGGGCTGACATATGTAAAACCATCACAAACGTTGATTTTTTTTCCGATTCAAAACCAACGTTGATCCAATATCATTTGTTTAATGATGAAATTAATACCGATGGAACTAAAACCCAGCTAGCACACTTACGTTGGGCCAATGTATGTTAAAACATTGCGAACGTCTGCTGTTTTTTCCAATGCACAACCAACGTTGATCCAATGTCATTTGTTTATTGATGAAATTAATACCGACGGAACTAAAAACAGCTGGCACATTTACATTGGTCCAAAGTATGTAAAAACATCGTAAAAAGTTGATTATAAACCTAATGTGATCAACATTGACAATGTTGTTAACCCGACGTTGATTCAATGTGTATAAACCAATGTTGATTTGATGTATATATATTAAATCAACTTTGATTCATATACAATGGAACAACGTTGGATTTTTTACAGTGGATCAACATTGTGTTTGTACTAAGAAAAAGCAGATATACATTTATACATTTGTATAAATTAGGATAATTATTTTTCAATAAAGTATTTCAGTTGATTATGCAAATATATTTCATTAATATATTTTTCTCTTTTTTGATAAAATATTAAGCCACAAGCTTTAATAATATATTTAATAAGATATTTAATTTAGGATCCAGTTCTAAGATATGGTTGGAGAACGGGTGCAATCATTCCTGAGCTAGAGGTAATTATTTTAATGAATATTTATTAATTATTTACTGTTGGCTGCTATTTGTTGCTTTTTAGTTTCTATGGTTTGGTCTTTAGATTTTTTTTAGATGTTGCTGTTAATAATTTTTTAATTTTATATCTTAATTTAATATTAATAATATTTTTGTAATTTAATATTAAAGTACAAATATTTAAGCAAATAATTGAATATATAAATGTGGGTGTGGTGTAGTGATAGATTACTTTGAAAGCAAAAAATTACAAATTCAATCCACAATCCTGTTAGTACCATGTTGATCTTGTTTTACCATGCATATCTCGTTTGTTAATGCTTTACTGTTAAAGTTTATGCTTTGGTGTTAAAGTTTATGCTTTGGTGTTGAAGTTTATGCTTTACTGTTAAAGTTTATGCTTTAGTGTTAAAGTTTATGGTTTAGTGTTAAAGTTTATGATTTACTGTTAAAGGGTTAATAATGTAACAACAATTTCAAAAGAAAAAACTTTTCCTTTAAAACTTTTGACTATACTAATGTAAAGTGAAAAATTTTAGTTTACAAGTTTTTAGTGAGAAAACAATATAATAATAATAACATTAATTTAAATGTTGTGGAATTATTATAGCGCTATAGCAACATCTTCAACAGCCAATACAATAATTGTTTATAAATTTAATACTAATTTGTTTTTCTTGTATAGGATCATTTGTAAATTAGTCAGTTTAACATTTGATTTGAATTTTTTAACTCATTTTGACCTCACAGCTCATAAATTCCTCCATTCAAAAACAACTGTTTGTAAAATAGTGTTGCCTACTTAAATAATTTTAACTAGTAACAGGCCTTACCTAGGATACTGGAGTCTAAATGTATTAATTGAATGCAATTGTATTTGAACTTTCCTCATATTAATAGATTCAAAGTGTTTATATAACTTATTTGTGGCTCATTCAAAACTTTCTCATCTTTCAACTCTTTGGAGTGCTTTGATGCAGGGATTATCTTTTTTAACTTTTAGTTTTTCCAGATATCCAAAATATTTTCAATACATGTTGAGGTATATATTTTTGTAATATATTTATTTTTTAAGCTTTTTCACTCATCACTTAAAAAAAAAATTATGAATAATATCAAAAAAAAATTAGAAACAACTTAACTAAAAGCGAAATTAAAGAGAAAATAAGGGAAAACAAATTCCGGATTTTTTACTGGAAATTTTTTCCAAACCATTTTCCGGATTTTTTTAAATATGACAAGGATAATCTATGTTGATGATAAAAAATGGTCATAATATTCTAACCGAGATTTTGTGGTTATTAAAAACATGGTTTCAAACAGAAACCATGTTTTGTTAACCTCTTTTTAAATAACCATGTTTTTAATAACCCCTATTTAAAATAGGGGTTTTTAATAGCCATATTTATAATAGGAAAGAGTGATGCATGTCAGAATAAGTAGATATCAGGTAGGGTATATTGGGACAGTTATGTTTAAAGTTTTATATCTCAGTTGAATTTTTTTTTTTTATAAAAGTTTTTAAATTACAGTAATAATAAAAATTTAGAAGTATTGAAATGCATTAAAAGTTCTAAAATGCATTAGCTATTTCAGGATAAACAAAAATTTCACATTTTTTTGTGATGCATTGACAAAATATCTGCTATTGACCCTTTTGAAAATAATAATTTCAGTAAAATGGTGATATGGGATATATCAACAAGTTATTTACATATATCATATATCACTACTGTTATAAAAAAGTAAAATGTTACCTGACTCCAAAACTGTAAAGATTTTAAATCTAACTATTTCGTCCAAGAAAATAAACTTTGACTTTAAGTTTTTGCACAATAGGGCAAAATGAAAGCTTTTCTAATTTTGCATTTTTACAGCATTTAAAAGCATTCTAAAATCAATATTTATTACTCCAAACATAAAAATAAAGACAACTGGTTATTTTGACTCAAATTAAAATTTTTATATAAATTTTTATATAAACTTGATAAGTTTTGATGAAATAAAAATGTTTTTGTAAAAATCCAAACTGCTAAAACTACTTGTATTTAGTCAAAAAAAGTCGGGAAATCGGCAATGTACAGTTTGAAAGCAGTTTTTTACATGTCATGTGTGTACAAGAGCTTTCAATAACCCTAATTTTGCAAAAAATCATGAAGATTGTCAGAAATCAGTTTATGTTATGTGCATGAAGAAGTTCTTACGTGAGTTGACTCAATTCCTTGTTTAAAAATCTTTAGGCACTACCATACAAATCTTAATTAAAGTGATACCAGAGTGCCAAGAGGGATCTGTGAACAACTTGTAGGAGAAAAGATGTAACCTTTTCCAAACCTTCTTTCAAGTAATCTTTTCCAAACCTTCAACTCCAGAAGGCATATTCAAAAGGTGGTCAATAGGGTGACACAAAATTGGAAAAAAAAAATGTTTGGTAAACCGGAAAATGTACGCAGTACATTTTCCGGTTTTACCAAACTTTAAGAGTCTACAAAAAAAATTTTACATCCCTTAGTGATTAGGAAGAGCTACATGAAAATTTGAAAATTTTACATTCCAAACTTTTTTTATTTCTTCGCATTATTTTATTATCTTCACATCATTCAACAAGTTTTTAAAACGTCAAAAATGATGAATTTATAACTAGTTCAAGATGTTTCTAAAACATTTGTGGTCATTTACAATAAATTTTTAAAAAGTTTAATTGTAGCATAAATTTGGTGGTTTGCATTTAATCACTTGGTAACTTTTAATTTAATTATTGTCCTGCTATAAACTTTGATTTTTTTTTTACTATTTACATATCTAAGTGTTGAAAATCAAAGAGAGAAAACAAAAGAAATTAGCTATAACACTCGTAGGTCTGTTTACCTGCTTAACTCACCTTTAAGCTACCTACCTACAAACCAACTTCCATCAAATTGAAGTGTTCTTCGATATTACTTGTTCCTAACTTCAGCTAGAGATAAGCGATTCAAACCTATTAAAACAAACTTTTTATGTTCTCGAGCGCTTGAGAACATGAAAATTTTGTTTTCATCCCGTCTTTCCCTTTCATATAACATTCTCTTGTGCTCGCGAGCATGAGAGGATGTTATATGCAAAGGGAAAGACGAGTTTTGTAATTCAAATACCGAAACTACTATTCACTCAGACAGATTGTAAGTATTTGGTCTTCTGGTTTCAATAATTACTTGATTTCTCAGAAAAGTATATTGGAAAAGTTTAAATCTCTATACAGCAAATACAAAATTTTGTGCAACAGTAAAACCTTTCAAATCAAAAAGCAAATTTCCGAATACCATAAAAATGACTTTTACAATATGGTAAAGCAATTTTTTGACATCAGTACAAAAGACTTCTTAGATTATCAAAGGTATTTTTTGATTAAATTTTTTTTGCAAAGATTTAAACTTTTTTTTCAATTTCAATATCTACTAATTTTTTTCCAAATATAAAAAAAAAAATTTTTGAAGAAATTTTGTTTTTTTATTCAAATTTATCTTACGCCAAGTGTTTTAACAACTTTTTGCACAGAGCTAACAGGAATATAATCATATCTTTTAAAATTGACACACACCTTGAAGCAAGGTTTCAGAGAAAGATTGATGGATGCAATAGGTAAGACAAATACAAAGATTGAGCACAGAAGAGCAACGATTCAATAATTTGTGATAATAGAGAGGAAAATTGTGATAAAAAGCAATGGACTCATAACTTTTTTCCTAACAATGATATAGATTTCTATTTCGCAAAGTAGGAACCTACAGAACCTAAAAAAACAAGAGCTGAATCACAATTAGGTAATACCAAAATTTGTTTAACACATAAAATAATTTGTTTCAACTTTTGATTAAATAAAGAGAAAATATAAACAATTTTTTTTAATAATGCACGGGCATTTAAGGTAAAGTTGTTAATTTTTTAAAGTAAAGGTAAAAATGAGCTCAAAATCTTTGTATTTAGATTCTGGAAGTGTAATTGCTGAGTTGGAAGTTTTTGTCTCAAATAAAAATGTTAACTTTCATGAAGCAAGCTCAAAAAGTAGGCATCAGTTTAGACCAGCATACTTCAGAGTAGAAAAAGAGATTTGTACGGTTGTGGCGCAGTGGTTAGAGCACTTGTTTTATAAGCAGGAGATCCAGATTCAAAACAAGCTTTGGACATATTTTGCGTCACGGTAAGGAAGGAGGTGCAAACTTCCTGGTTAAATGCACCTAAATAACAAATTTAAAAAAAGAAAAGAGATAACCAGTGAGGGTCTCATTGCAGCAACAACTTCCACCAGTAAAAGTTCTCAGCATTCGAGATCAAACTCTTCTTATTGCAAGCGTAGCTATTTAGAAGGAGATGTTAAACAACCAAAGTTAAGCAGAGAATCTGTCAGAAAGCGATTTTACAGATTTTAAGATTAGAAGAGGAAGGAGGCCAGATATGTAACAAATATATTGATTTAATGGTTAATAAGATAATATTTTTACAATTTGATAATAAAATTTTAAAGCATATTGAGGAGGACACTAGACAGGCAATTACTGCAAATAGACTATTGGTGACTGTAACTAGCCCAGAGTTTGAAACCAAAGATGATCTTTTACTTGGTGTTGTGACAACTGATAGTGGTAAGGGAATCAATATGGCTATAAGTATTATAAATCTCCTAGAATATTTTGAAATTTGTTACTTTATTGCAGGGTTCTGTTCTAACATCACAGTAAGTAACACTGGAGGGAAATCTGGTGCAATAACTATTATGGCAAGATTTATCTGTAAACCGTTTCTTTGGTAATTGTGTAGAAACCATATTGCCGAGATAAATATTACTGGGGCTTTTAAGGCAAATTTAAAGGAAACGTCTAAAGCCCCTGCAAATAAATTACTAAAAGATTTTTAATGGATAATAGTATTTTATACAAAAGTTCCAGCCAATGGTGCTGTAGAAAAGCTCAAACGATTTCCTGAGCAAGACCTTATTGTTGGCAGTAGGCATACTTGAAGTGCTTTCTAACTGCTAGATTCATGCACACATTTCACTCAGGTAGTTCGCAATCTTAGTGTGACTAACGACTGTGCTAAAAGTAATGTTAGTTTAATTGAAAACTTTTTTCACAGTTCCCAATTATCAAAAACAATGAGGATCAGAGACAGAACATTCCTTTGCTAGTCAAGAAACAGAAAGCTAATTAAAAAAGATAAGTCGCTTAAGGAACTAGTAAAGCTGAAACCTGGAGTTAAAAAATTAATCCAAAATAATAGCTAACTGTATGAAGTTATAAACAGGGGTTTTTTTCTTGTAAGATCAAACAAAAGATTAGTTATAAACATATTTTAACCCGTAAAAATGACATAAAGCTCAGCCAATTCTCAATATTTGAAAAATTACATGTAGTACTTCCAACAAACAAAAATAATTTTGTATATAGACTAACTGAATGTTGTAGAATGTGATAAGCAACTGCAGTTATTGATTTTCAAAAAATTTCATTTTTCGACCTTACTTTGTGTTACCCTAGTGGTCAACCACTTAAAGTTAAGTCAGGTATAAAATGACATCCATTGTGAAATTTATATTTAAACAAAAAGATATTTAAAAATGTTTTTTATTTTAGGAAGCTCAAGTGCTAGAACCTTTTTCCTGTACCAACAATCAAAACTGAAAATCTTGTACAATTTCAGCTGAATACAGGACTGACAAATCACAGCATGAAAAAATTGGTATCAACCATCAACAGATTCTTTGAAACTAAGATTGTAGGGCCAAAGTTTTGTGCTAAGTTTGAAGCCTTGGCACACAGCTGTCTGAATTTTTCACTCAAACCAGCATCAAAGTTTTTGCAGGAAACAATTGCAACTCCAATATTTGGTATTAGTTCCAAGATGAGTTTGTTTTCAGATCCAGACAGTAATGGCTCATAGACTACATTGCCAAAGAACTTTGCCATCATGTCCAGCTGCAACTGTCAACTTTACAATCATATCCAGACTCTTTTTAGCAGGCAACAGCCAAATGTTTTCAATGATCCTGATAATGATGAGAGCTCTATCTGCTTCTTGGTGTGGTAAATTGCATTTACAAAGTCTTGACAGAAGTTTAGGCTTAGCGCTTTCTGATGCCCCTCAGCTCTCCACAATCTAAAAAAGCCATATCATGGTGGGCAGTTTGCAGGCTGGCAGAATGCCTGCCACAAGCTGCTCAGCAATATAGATCTCCAAAAGACATGTTTCAGAATAATCCTGGAGGATGATTTTACAAAAAAAATTGATTACTTCAGAGACACTTATCTGGTAGTTATGAACATCAGTGTGACCCCAAAAGTTTATGCTGTTTTCTTCCATGTTAAGCAATTTATTGAGATAAATCATGCTTCCTTGGGGATCTATAGTGAGCCTGTATATTTATAAGAATCCAAAGTAGGCACAGTTTTTTATTGCAGAATAACTAAGGTTTTCATAGAAAATTTATTATGCAGTTGTACATTTTTTTAAAAAATTGTTGTTTCGAATGTGTGAAAAATAACCATCTTTGTCTTTATTATGTATATTTGTATGTTTTAAGTAATAAGTATTGATTATAGAATGTTTTTTAATACTGTCAAAGTTTTACAAACTGTCATTTCACTCTATTGTGCAAAATGGTAAAAACTTAAAATCAAATTCATTTTCTTGGAAGAAAAGTTAGATGTCGAATTTTACATTTTTGGAGTCAGGAAACATAGTACTGTCACCCAGTCTAAGCGTTTTTCTTGAGTCAGCTCAAAGTAATTGCCAACCATTTTGTACAACAGTGAACTGGTCAATAAGCTCATATATTTAAAAATATGTTAATAAAGCAAAATTTTGAGTATTGGTTTGCGTTCTGATTTTTCTATGTTAAATACCTTTAAAAATAAAAATACTTTTTCTTTTGTCTAGACCTAAAAATTATTTTCAGTTAAAAAAGAATACATGGTGTTTTGTTAAAACCAAAAATAATTTTTACAGTTTTATAAAAATTTCAAGTAAAACACAGTATCTCTTCACAAGATTAAAATATTCGGTTCAACTTCATTATTCTTTTTCACAATTTCAAAAACAGTTTATGTAGTTCTGCGTGCTTACAGCTCAGATGAAAATTAGAGACTCTGTACATAGCATTGAAAATCAGAATGCCATGGCCCCTCGTCATCTTTTAAATGACGTTTCTGTTGTCATATTTTAAGTTTTTGTCAGGCCTAGATATTTTTAAATATATAAAGCTTAATCATATTAATTCTAATCATTATTATTTTATATAATCATTATTATTTTACTTATAGCGAGATGAAAAACTCGTTTTATATCGTTTATGTTTTTTTTTATTTTTAAAATTATTCTTAAAAATTTATTTAGAGGGAGATTGAAATTTGTAACTCAGAAGAATATATCAGAAATGTAAAATGGCTAGTTGCTTTAGAAGAACTCATAACGTTAGCTCAGGTTTGCTTTATTGTTATTACCTCTAATGGTCAGTTTTTTTCTATGGGAAAGGGAAGGGAAAATTTATCACGGGAGCATGCTTAGTTTTGCTTCCGATAAATTAAAATCTAAACTACGCATGGTCATGTAATTATTTTTTCCTTCCTTTTCTGTTTCCGTAGAAATAAGATGAGTGGAAACTGACCTATAAGTTTAACTCAGGTTTTTTTTATTGTTATTATCTCTTAAGGTTAGCTCGGATTTGTTTTATTATTATTGCCTCTTAAGGTTAGCTCAGGTTTGTTTTATTGATAATACATCTTAAGGTTAGCTCAGGTTTAGTCGACTAGATTCTTATATTTCCCCTGAAAATGTTGTTGGTCTCATGGTTTGATTTTTTAGTTATAAATTGTTAATGTTTTACCTATTACCTATTGTCATTTCAATATTTTCGAACTATTTCAAATACTTACAGTATTGGACAAAACATTTGCAACCAATATCGAACAATGCTAAAAAGTGTTCCTAATTTTACATGTCTTTACTATGGCATGCTTGCTCATGTCATGGCATACTATGACTCCGGCCCCTGAACAAACAGTTCAGGGGTCTGGAGTCATAGTATGCCATGACATGAGCAAGCAGCTGACAGGTGACAGCACACAGGCAGAATTTCGTTGACAAGTGCCATTTTGCAACGGACAAAACAAGTGCAACTTTTTTAGTTTGTTTCATTTTCTTAAGTCTGGTCCGTGTCAACGTCACGAAAGTTTTTTAATAATTAAAGGAAGTATCCAGAAGTTTCCAGAAGCATGCAGAAGCTTCCTGAATATCCAGAAAAATTCAGAAGCATCCAGACACATCCAGAAGTATCGAAAAGAAGCATCTAGAATCTTCCAGAACAGGTTCACACGGGTTCATTTTACTATATAAAAGACATGTAAACCAATATGTAATTCAGTCAGTATATGGATATATATATATATTCAGTATATTCAGTCAGTATACAATCAGTCAGTATTATCAAGACAGTTTATCGAAGTGAGTTTTATCAAAATGTTTTATCGAAGAACATAAATACAAGAAGTGAAATACAACAAGTGTTTCATTAGATCAATACAGTCCACATCCAACACCTATTGGTGATGGATTAGCCGCCTCAATCTCCGAATCTTAACCCTATCAAGAACCTGTGGGAGATCGTCAACTGCAGAATTAATTGTGAAGGTGTTCGTAATAAGGATCAACTGTTTGAACAAATCCAAAAGGCCTGGGCAGCGATTCCACAAAGTTTCATTAATAACCTGATCGAATCTATGCCTCGAAGATGCAAGGCTGTGATCGACAACAAAGAATTAGCCACGATATATTGATAGCGAAATACAGCTTGGTCAACATTTTGTGGAGTTGCACTTGTTTTGTCCAGAAGGAAATCAACTTTTTTTAATACTTTTGATTAATTTATTAATTTTCGTGTACAAATAATGAACTTTGTGATGATTTAAAACTTGAAAAACGTTGTCTCTAAACAATTACATAGTTATTTCTCTAAATTGAAAAAATGCAGCACTTTGGTATAAAGAAACTAAATTAGCATTATTTGGTTGCACTTGTTTTGTCCGATACTGTATGTTTACATTTGATTTTACAATTTTTTCAAATTTTTCAAATAAATTTTTTCCGTTTAATCGCCGCTAATTAGATTGGTAATCAAGTTAATAAAGTTTTGAATGAGCTTTTTAAGTATTTAGCATATTACTGGTTAAAAACTTAATATAAAAATGGCAATTTATCACAGGACTATAAATGGGAAGAGTACATGTATTATTATTCAAAATTTGTTTTTCCCGCGAAAAATGCAAGAATGTATCAATGAAAGTAAACTAACAAAAACAAATGCTTGATGAAATCAGTCTGCTTGTTTTAAAACAAGCTGCATTTATAGATCAATGTTCTATTCATAATTGTTTACAAATCTTGTTTTGAATAGTTATTATCTTTAACAAAAACTGTTTAACTTCTAAACTTATCGTTTGCATTAATTCTTGTACGTTCTGATTTTTTAATTTTGATATTTTGTTTACATAAACAAAAAATATTATTCTAACCATTTTAATGTTGTTATCATTTGATATTTTCTTGTTAAACGAAAATCTCAATATAGTGTCGAGACAGTATTGAATTTAAAAATCTTGCATTCGAATGGAGACTAGAACGGAAACGTTTGAGGTAAAGTTTAAACTTCTTATTTTTATGTTTATGTTTGGTTGGATATATTTAAAAAAAAATTAAAAGTTATGTTTTTTAAACAGGATATCATTAAAGGCAGCATTCAATCCTTACTTTGGAAGTATGTTTCGAACGTTTCACAATTCTTCGTCATTTACACGCAGAATGACTCGCTACGCGGACTTGTATACTTCAAGCGTTTCTAATTTACTCCACTACAATGAGAACTATCACTTTTTTCCCAGAAGAATTTTATTACCCCACGAACAAGACTATAACACGGTTTTTAATTAAAAGTATCAAGTAATGATTCTCGGAACTGGGCCAGGGAAAAAATAACAAAAACTGGTTTGTGGTCAGTGACTACGAATCCGGTTAAAGTTTATTAAATTTTTTTTTTTTTTTTTTTTTTTTTTTTTTTTTGCTTTTATTATTTTATAATTACTTACGAAATAAGTAAATTTTTATTACTTACGAAATAAATAAATTTTTATTTCTTACGAAATAAGTTAATTTTTATTACTTACGAATTGAGTATATTCTTATTACTTACGAATTTGCAAATTGACATTGCGAAAATACTTAATAAATGTGTTGTAAAAATATTTTCCTGTTCTTATTATATTTATTTTTTTATTAAAGTCTAATAAAATAAAATAATGAAGTTTAAGTTAATAATTTTTTATATTTTAGTATTGTCAAGTTATCAGCCTAGCTACCATGTTTAATTATTTCCGCGACCAGGTACTAGATTCAGAGTAATCTTGCAGACACCCGTCCCACATCCACCCGCCCTATCTAAATAGTACCTAATCTTGATCTATTCTCTTCTTTTTTCCCTCCTCTCCACGAATTTAATATATTTATTAAAAACTTATCTTCTAATAACAACTTGCAGCGGTTTGTGAAACCGTAAAGTTTAAATCAAAGCCGCTGTCACTTGCAACTACAAATATTGCTTTAACCTTTGGAATACACACGAGAATCAGGTCGGGTTAGAAAAAGTTATACAATGACTCGCTAAAGTGTATGTACCAGTAATTTTAAATAAAAAAAAAATTGTTTAACTGATTTAAAAAATTTAAACTAATTTCAAGCAATTACCTTTGTCTCCTTAAATTGAGTAGTTAAATGAATTAGTTTTAGTATTCGCATTTGAGTTTGCGACATTCACGTCACATGTTTTTTACGATGGTGCTTGTTATTACCTGATGTTATTGTTAATTGCTTGGCGCATTAACAATAACATCAGGCTGTTATGTTTATCAACTTATTTATCCATTATAATTCATTCGTTAAATGTAGATGCGCATTGTAAACGAGCTTGATGCAAATTACTTACAGAACTTCAATGCAGCGGATATTAAGGTGTTCCCAGAAGTCCTTACGGTCTAATCACAGGACACCACGGAAGAGCATTTAATTAGAAAGTTTATGCCTCCTTCCTTACCAGTGTCGCTTAATGGGCTAGAGCCGTCGAACCTCGGATCTCTTGGTTCTGAGCCAGAACACTAACCACTTCGCCACAGCTGTCATAGCGCAGTTGTAACTCACTTGTCTAAGAAACAAAGGGTCCGTGGTTCAACGCCATCTCTGGTAAGGACGGTGGCGTGTACTCCCATTTAAATGCTCTTCCGCAGTACTCTGTGAAAAGGCCATAAAGACTTCTTAAAAAATAAAAAGTGTAAAGACAGGAGTTTTTTACAGGTATCTGTTCGCTGACCTCGATTACTAAATTTCAAGCGTGAATTTTAGTAAATTAGGTCAGCGAACAGACTGTTTAAACAGGCTTAGTAAACATCAAGCTTAAAGGTCTTTCCCATTTCGTATAAATAGTATTTTTTAAGGCTATGTACATATTAAAGTTTTCTACAACTCATTACTCAGTTTAATCAAAGCTTTTAACTCTGGTGACGCATTAAATTGCTTCACTTTTTGAGTTGATAATAACCATGGTTGGAAAATCCATCCAATTCTTGCATAATAAACTAGTTAAACATTTAAGAATTTAGTATAAAGCTAAGAGTACTTTAAATAAACGTTACCTAACTCGATTATATTTCTTATGTAGTTGTAATTTAAACTCAGTGGCGGACTTGCTCACTGGTCCACTGAATTACTTCTTGAATTACCAGGGGAAAAATATATCAGGGGAAAAGAGATATACATTTAGGCTTTTGACTTAGTAGTCTTCTTATTTTTAATTCATAAACTTGAAATAATATAAATTGCACACTAAATTTGAATTTTTTTTCGATCGGAAACTAAACCTAATTCATTTCCATAGTTAGGAATTGCGTTGACTTAAACCAAAAACATTTACGGGCAGGGCCGACGACACGGGTTTTGAAGTGGGGGTTGAGACACAATCATAATCTTGTAAATAAAGTCCTCGATATTAAGATATTTCTTTAAAAAAAAAAAAAGGTCTTTTAGATAAAAAGTGTAGGGGGTGCACGATACCCCCCCACCCCCGGTGTCGCGATGTCAGTGATGGATTTAAGGGAAGGGGAGGATGGGGTAGGCATCCCCCCTCCTTCCCCACCAGAATCTAAAAGTTCTAAAAGTATCTTAGAAATTGAGGGCCTTTTTTTTTTAGGAGACGAAAATATCGGACAAAAGACAAAAATGTTTTAACATCCCCCCACCACCACTGAAAATTCCTGGATCCGTCACTAATCAATGTTGCTTGTTTTGTCTTAACTACATGCATGAGTTTACAACTGATTATAAATATTTATAGACAACATACGGTATATTATATATGTATAATATACATTTAGAGATACTCAAATGTGATACAAAATACAAATTTATTTCAACATCTCACCGTCCCCCTCCCTCCCCCCACCCTTATCACCAAAAAAATCCTGGATCCGTCGCTGAAAGAACAGAGCTAAAATTAAATTTGTAGAATATTATCACAAATTTTTTTCATTTTGTACTATGTTTCATCTATAAAGACTCATCAGAAAATATTTAAAGTTATATTTAAAAATATATATATTTTTTTAAAATATAGTATTAAATAAAACCTTCCTTTATTTAAATTGACTGTTAAAACATAAAAAAAGTTTTTTAAAAAGTTGAAATTTAAAAAAAAAAGTTATATTTCAGATTGAGAAAAAAATAAGCGCATAATATTAATTTATATAGTTTTCTAAATATAAAAAAGTAATAAAATCAAATATTATTTAAAATGACAATATTTTTATAATTAATTTATTCTTCTATATTATCACACCACAAGCAATAAACTGTTATAGACTTGCAGAGTTATATAAAAACTGACCACTCACTTGTGACGTGTTTGCTTCGGCAACACATATATTAAAATTGGAACGATACAGAGAAGATTAGCATGGCCCCTGCGCAAGGATGACACGCAAATTCGTGAAGCGTTCCAAATTTTTCTTAATACCAATTAATAACAAAAGGGTATAAACTTTTTTTATAATATATATATATATTTAAAAAAGAAAAAGCTTTATTCTTGTTATATATGTGAATAATAATAAAAATATATTTGGTTATATATGTGTATAAGTTTTGGTATTTTTTTAGTAATAATTTCTTAATCATTTAATTATCTTTATTAAATTAATGAATTAATTTGGTACTATTTCAAAAACCCTTTTTAACTTTTTGTATTATAAATTAATTAAGATAATTAAATGATTAAGAAATTATTACTAAAAAAATACCGAAACTTATACACATATATAACCAAATATATTTTTATTATTATTCACATATATATGGAAGCTCATCACAACAATATCTTTCAAATCCAGAAATATATTTTAAATCCAGAAAAATTTTTTAAATCCAGAAATATATTTTAAATCCAGAAATGTATATTTTTAATCGCAAAATATTGTTTAAATCGCGAAATATATTTTAAATCCAGAAATATATTTCAAATCCAGAAATATATTTTAAATCCAGAAATATATTTTAAATCCAGAAATATATTTTAAATCCAGAAATGTATATTTTTAATCGCAAAATATTGTTTAAATCGCGAAATATATTTTAAATCCAGAAATATATTAGAAATCGCAAAAAATATTTCAAATCGCAAAATATATTTGAAATCCAAAAATTTATGTTTAAAACCCAGAAATATATTAGAAATCGCAAAAAATATTTTAAATCCAGAAATATATATTTTGAATATAATACTTTCACATGTTTTGAAAAACAAAAAGCTGATAATAATAACAAACAAACGAACAAAAACGCAGTTTTAGTAAATAAACAATTAAAAGCGATCAAGTGATAAAATGTTTGTTAATTTTTGTTTTTGTTGTGGAAGAAAATATTTATTCAATACTGAGTTTTTTTGCCCTCGGTGCGGGGAACGAAGGAAACGATCAGAGGAAGAAACATCAATTCAAAACAACTTCACTGAAGAATTGATTAAGCATTACTTTCACAAAGGAATGCAATACAAAAAAATTGTTTTCCTGTTAAGTCGCTACCATGGTTTGGAAATTAGTGTTAGTACATTAAAACGTTATTTAAATAAAATGGGTTTAAAAAGAAAAAATAGATTATTTGAAAACACTTCGATTCGCCGCCAAATAGAAACAGAGGTGCAAACCTTTGCCGGAATTAAAGGTTACCGCAGTATATGGCACACATTACGCATAAGTTACGGTATCTCCATCAACAGAGATGACGTCATGAACATCCTCAGGCAAATTAACCCTGCGCAATCCGAAAATAGGAAACATTGTAAACTAAAACGAAGAGTTTATAGTTCCCAAGGTCCAAATTTTGTGTGGCATGTTGATGGCTACGATAAATTAAAGCCGTATGGTTTCCCTATTCATGGATGCATTGATGGGTTTTCTCGTAAAATAATTTGGTTAAAACTTTGCCGAACAAATAAAGACCCAGTTATTCCGGCTCATTTCTATCTTAATGCATTGAAAGAATTAAAAGTGTGTCCAGATACTCTGAGAACTGATTGCGGCACAGAAAACGGCATTATTGCAGCAATACACTCCTTTGTACATAATGATATCAATGCACACAAGTACGGCAGTTCGCAGTCTAACCAAAGAATTGAAAACCTATGGTCGAACTTGAAAAGGACATATACAACATCTTTTATAGGATATTTTAAAAGAATGGTTTTTAATGATGATTTAAGACTTGGAGATTGTTTCCAAATGGAATGCGTTTGGTTTAGTTACTCTGAATTAATACAATTTGAGCTTGATAAAATGAAAGAGGAGTGGAATTCCCATAATATTAGAAAGACCCGACATGCAAATGTTCATGGGATACCAGACGAAATGTTTTATTTACCAGAGCTCTATAACTACCAGCAATGTGGAGTAAATATTAACGATGACATTCTTTCCGGAATACTAAGTCAAAGAGATATTCACGCTGAAGCCTACGAAATTTTGAATAAGAGCGACTTGCAACTTGTTAACTACTTTAAAGACGTAGTAAACGAAAAAGGACTAAAAATGCCGCCGAGAAACTGGGATGAAGCAAGAAAAATTTATAACACAATTATTTATCAAGCAATATAGTTTCGTGTTTTCAACTATAAATATATAAAAATACACAAACAAGCTATATAAGTATATATATACATATATATATATATATATATATATATATATATATATATATATATATATATATATATATATATATATATATATATAAAGTAAGAAATGTCTTCACGCATTTAAATAAGTCCAAAATGGTAACCGTTTTTTACAGCTAATGAAAGTGCTTCCTTCATAGTGTTTTCTGTATTTATATGAACTGGCAGATTTAACTGTATGTCACAAGTGCTGACTGTTGGTAAACATTTGCATTCTTTACCATTATTTGTTAACGGACATCCATGAACAAAAACTATAGAAATATCTTTTGGAAGCCCTATTGCGGGAATGGACGGCGAGCCAGTCAAAAACTGCAAAATATCATTTGATGAAGGATCCGCCAGTTCTAAATAATAAAAATACATAATCTGCTGCTTTGTTTTTGAGAGTATTATAATAAATTTAACAGTAAAAAGTGTCAATACCAGTATTGAAGCTATACTCAACAACATCAAGAAAAGCTTTGTATGTAGAAATTTCAAATGATTTTTTGTTCTCTCCGGATTCGCTAAACTGCGGTTTTAACAAAAGTATAAAATCATCAAATTTCCATATAAAACTTTCGTTTGCACAAAATAAAACTCGCATGATATTTGAATTTTTTTTTATAACTTCATAAAAGCCATACACTTGTAAACCAATCGCAATTTCTCCAACTACAGGTAAAAGTTGCTCTATTTTTCCTTTAATTAACATTGATCTAATGAAAAAAAAAAATAAAAATTGAACATATGAAGATATTTAAAAATAAGTTAAATGAATTGAGGCTAGAGGTTTATTAAATGATGAAATAACAAATGATCTTTGAAGATCCTAATTGATTTATTCATAGGGTATTATAGGTAACTATTGACTTACTCTAAAAGAGCATGTTTATCATCAATAGACGATTTTCTTGGATCACTTCTATATCCAATTATTTCAAGTGCATCCATTCCTTCTTCAGTACATAGCACATTAGTTAAATAGTCATCTGTAGTTGCAAATAAAATCTAAAAAAATTTATATTAATTCAATTTAAAATTAAATAATATTATTTAATAGATACACTATTTATAATTGAAATCAATTAGATTTTATTTATAATTTTTATATATTTTTATTTGTCACAGAAATAGCAAGAAAATGAGATATTTTACTTTATCAAAAATACTTTTTAAATTTGAAGATTCATCTAAAGCCTTTGGACAACACCGTACTGCAGTTGAAATGCCATTCACCATAAGCTCATAAACCCAAGGGGACAAAAAAAAGGTGCAGGTCCGCCATTCACAATAGATGCTGCAAATAAATGGCCTATAGTTTTTACTGTGCCATCTGCAACACTAAGAATACCACATGATGGTACATAGCCAACCAAATCATCGCCAGTAAAGAACCTAATTTTAATTGATTTTAAAGCTTCTAAATACAAAAATAAATATTGTAAAGAAAAAAAACTATAATTCTTGAAGCATTAATTTTAGTTTATTAATTAAATCTTAAACAAATAAATTGCAAATTATAACTGTTAAATTGTTCTTTTATTTTTGAGTCAAAGTTATAGAAAACACTAAAATTACCTTAAGAATTATCTTTTTGAGAAAAGATCAGATACAAAAAATAAAAAACAATTAGTCAAAAAAACTTTAAATAATCAACCAAAACTTTTAAAAAACAACAATTAACACTATTGATACATATAAACAGAGTTGTTAATCCTCAGGCTTGCTTTTAATTAAAAGAATTAATTCCTTGGTCATGAAACATTTTAGCCTTGTTGTTTGCTAAGTAACATTTAACATTAGCCTTGCTATATTTTAGCCTTATTAACAACTCTGCATATAAATTTAACCTGAATAGAATTCTCGAAACACTCCACCTGTATCGATAGCAGGCTCACCAACAAATGAAAACTTGTATAAATTGTGGATTTTATCCTTGTTCCAACTTTTAGTAAAAAATTTGTGGAAGTCTTCAAATTCAAATTGACGACGAACATTTATTCTGACATCGCCATCATGTATATCACTGAGTTGTTTTATTAAAACTGGAATCTTTTTTTTAAGATCATTTATATTCTCAGGTTTATCAAAATCTTGTTCTTTTTCATAACTATTAGTCAAATCAATTTCATAACTATTAGTCAAATCAAATATACCATTTGCTTTTCTTTATTTTTTAAACAATTATCTGCATGTTGTTCAAGCACTGAAAAAGGAAACCTTTGATTACATACAGGACAAAGACCGCAGCTGACGCCTGAACTAGATTGACTGGCTGTTTGTTGTGAAGAAATATCTTTAAAATTTTTTACAGATTTACTGTCAACAACACCAAAATAAGAAAATGATTGATTATTTTCAATAGATAATTTTTCTGGAAAATCTCCAAGATAATTATTTGACAAAGTGTTATTATTGAAATCTTCACTATGATATTGAAAACAGAAGTTATCTAAATCCGAAATAGAGCTGTCATTATTTAAATCGGTGACTTCTTTATTTTCTAGATTTAAAATACTTTGCTTACACAGATATAAGTCTATCTTTTAAAATGGTTTGTTTAAACTTTCTTTATACTTTTCAACTGTAAACAAAGAGTTAGTGCCTGGAACATATTCAGCTTTTTTTTTATCAGGATATAGTAGTACCCAGTTATCGTTATAACAAAAAAATTGGTTATGATCTGCATGTTTTCCACAAGCGATTTCAAAAACCATCTTTGCATTACCTTGCCTTGGGACATGTATAGGCAATTTACTTCCCCTCACAATGTTAATTTCATCTTTACCATTATCTTTCATAATACCAACATTTATTGTTACATTCTCAATAGAACGACTTTTTTTTAGAGAGTCATTGGAAATTATCGGTGCAAAAGATTTTCTTTTAAACCTAGATTTCCTCTCGACAGTTTTATACTTTTGAAAGTCGCTAAGAGCAAGTTTTTCATTTATGCGAATATTTACTTCCTCTTCTTCTTTAACCTTTTTCTTATTTCCACAAAATGTACAAAAATTGTCCTCAAGCTTTAAATTAGCTCCACATGAGGCACATTATGACGCCATTTTTATAAAATTCACATATGATAATTTGAAAATATCGCGATTTGAAATATATTTTGCGATTTGAAATATATTTCTGGATTTAAAATATATTTCTGGATTTAAAATATATTTCTGGATTTAAAATATATTTCTGGATTTAAAATATATTTCTGGATTTAAAATATATTTCTGGATTTGAAATATATTTCTGGATTCAAAATATATTTCGCGATTTAAACAATATTTTGCGATTAAAAATATACATTTCTGGATTTAAAATATATTTCTGGATTTAAAATATATTTCTGGATTTAAAATATATTTCTGGATTTAAAATATATTTCTGGATTTAAAATATATTTCTGGATTTGAAATATATTTCTGGATTTAAAATATATTTCGCGATTTAAACAATATTTTGCGATTAAAAATATACATTTCTGGATTTAAAATATATTTCTGGATTTAAAAAATTTTTCTGGATTTAAAATATATTTCTGGATTTGAAAGATATTGTTGTGATGAGCTTCCATATATATGTGAATAATAATAAAAATATATTTGGTTATATATGTGTATAAGTTTCGGTATTTTTTTAGTAATAATTTCTTAATCATTTAATTATCTTAATTAATTTATAATACAAAAAGTTAAAAAGGGTTTTTGAAATAGTACCAAATTAATTCATTAATTTAATAAAGATAATTAAATGATTAAGAAATTATTACTAAAAAAATACCAAAACTTATACACATATATAACCAAATATATTTTTATTATTATTCACATATATAACAAGAATAAAGCTTTTTCTTTTTTAAATATATATATATATTATAAAAAAAGTTTATACCCTTTTGTTATTAATTGGTATTAAGAAAAATTTGGAACGCTTCACGAATTTGCGTGTCATCCTTGCGCAGGGGCCATGCTAATCTTCTCTGTATCGTTCCAATTTTAATATATGTGTTGCCGAAGCAAACACGTCACAAGTGAGTGGTCAGTTTTTATATAACTCTGCAAGTCTATAACAGTTTATTGCTTGTGGTGTGATAATATAGAAGAATAAATTAATTATAAAAATATTGTCATTTTAAATAATATTTGATTTTATTACTTTTTTATATTTAGAAAACTATATAAATTAATATTATGCGCTTATTTTTTTCTCAATCTGAAATATAACTTTTTTTTTTAAATTTCAACTTTTTAAAAAACTTTTTTTATGTTTTAACAGTCAATTTAAATAAAGGAAGGTTTTATTTAATACTATATTTTAAAAAAATATATATATTTTTAAATATAACTTTAAATATTTTCTGATGAGTCTTTATAGATGAAACATAGTACAAAATGAAAAAAATTTGTGATAATATTCTACAAATTTAATTTTAGCTCTGTTCTTTCAGCGACGGATCCAGGATTTTTTTGGTGATAAGGGTGGGGGGAGGGAGGGGGACGGTGAGATGTTGAAATAAATTTGTATTTTGTATCACATTTGAGTATCTCTAAATGTATATTATACATATATAATATACCGTATGTTGTCTATAAATATTTATAATCAGTTGTAAACTCATGCATGTAGTTAAGACAAAACAAGCAACATTGATTAGTGACGGATCCAGGAATTTTCAGTGGTGGTGGGGGGATGTTAAAACATTTTTGTCTTTTGTCCGATATTTTCGTCTCCTAAAAAAAAAAGGCCCTCAATTTCTAAGATACTTTTAGAACTTTTAGATTCTGGTGGGGAAGGAGGGGGGATGCCTACCCCATCCTCCCCTTCCCTTAAATCCATCACTGACATCGCGACACCGGGGGTGGGGGGGTATCGTGCACCCCCTACACTTTTTATCTAAAAGACCTTTTTTTTTTTTTAAAGAAATATCTTAATATCGAGGACTTTATTTACAAGATTATGATTGTGTCTCAACCCCCACTTCAAAACCCGTGTCGTCGGCCCTGCCCGTAAATGTTTTTGGTTTAAGTCAACGCAATTCCTAACTATGGAAATGAATTAGGTTTAGTTTCCGATCGAAAAAAAATTCAAATTTAGTGTGCAATTTATATTATTTCAAGTTTATGAATTAAAAATAAGAAGACTACTAAGTCAAAAGCCTAAATGTATATCTCTTTTCCCCTGATATATTTTTCCCCTGGTAATTCAAGAAGTAATTCAGTGGACCAGTGAGCAAGTCCGCCACTGAGTTTAAATTACAACTACATAAGAAATATAATCGAGTTAGGTAACGTTTATTTAAAGTACTCTTAGCTTTATACTAAATTCTTAAATGTTTAACTAGTTTATTATGCAAGAATTGGATGGATTTTCCAACCATGGTTATTATCAACTCAAAAAGTGAAGCAATTTAATGCGTCACCAGAGTTAAAAGCTTTGATTAAACTGAGTAATGAGTTGTAGAAAACTTTAATATGTACATAGCCTTAAAAAATACTATTTATACGAAATGGGAAAGACCTTTAAGCTTGATGTTTACTAAGCCTGTTTAAACAGTCTGTTCGCTGACCTAATTTACTAAAATTCACGCTTGAAATTTAGTAATCGAGGTCAGCGAACAGATACCTGTAAAAAACTCCTGTCTTTACACTTTTTATTTTTTAAGAAGTCTTTATGGCCTTTTCACAGAGTACTGCGGAAGAGCATTTAAATGGGAGTACACGCCACCGTCCTTACCAGAGATGGCGTTGAACCACGGACCCTTTGTTTCTTAGACAAGTGAGTTACAACTGCGCTATGACAGCTGTGGCGAAGTGGTTAGTGTTCTGGCTCAGAACCAAGAGATCCGAGGTTCGACGGCTCTAGCCCATTAAGCGACACTGGTAAGGAAGGAGGCATAAACTTTCTAATTAAATGCTCTTCCGTGGTGTCCTGTGATTAGACCGTAAGGACTTCTGGGAACACCTTAATATCCGCTGCATTGAAGTTCTGTAAGTAATTTGCATCAAGCTCGTTTACAATGCGCATCTACATTTAACGAATGAATTATAATGGATAAATAAGTTGATAAACATAACAGCCTGATGTTATTGTTAATGCGCCAAGCAATTAACAATAACATCAGGTAATAACAAGCACCATCGTAAAAAACATGTGACGTGAATGTCGCAAACTCAAATGCGAATACTAAAACTAATTCATTTAACTACTCAATTTAAGGAGACAAAGGTAATTGCTTGAAATTAGTTTAAATTTTTTAAATCAGTTAAACAATTTTTTTTTTATTTAAAATTACTGGTACATACACTTTAGCGAGTCATTGTATAACTTTTTCTAACCCGACCTGATTCTCGTGTGTATTCCAAAGGTTAAAGCAATATTTGTAGTTGCAAGTGACAGCGGCTTTGATTTAAACTTTACGGTTTCACAAACCGCTGCAAGTTGTTATTAGAAGATAAGTTTTTAATAAATATATTAAATTCGTGGAGAGGAGGGAAAAAAGAAGAGAATAGATCAAGATTAGGTACTATTTAGATAGGGCGGGTGGATGTGGGACGGGTGTCTGCAAGATTACTCTGAATCTAGTACCTGGTCGCGGAAATAATTAAACATGGTAGCTAGGCTGATAACTTGACAATACTAAAATATAAAAAATTATTAACTTAAACTTCATTATTTTATTTTATTAGACTTTAATAAAAAAATAAATATAATAAGAACAGGAAAATATTTTTACAACACATTTATTAAGTATTTTCGCAATGTCAATTTGCAAATTCGTAAGTAATAAGAATATACTCAATTCGTAAGTAATAAAAATTAACTTATTTCGTAAGAAATAAAAATTTATTTATTTCGTAAGTAATAAAAATTTACTTATTTCGTAAGTAATTATAAAATAATAAAAGCAAAAAAAAAAAAAAAAAAAAAAAAAAAAAAAAATTTAATAAACTTTAACCGGATTCGTAGTCACTGACCACAAACCAGTTTTTGTTATTTTTTCCCTGGCCCAGTTCCGAGAATCATTACTTGATACTTTTAATTAAAAACCGTGTTATAGTCTTGTTCGTGGGGTAATAAAATTCTTCTGGGAAAAAAGTGATAGTTCTCATTGTAGTGGAGTAAATTAGAAACGCTTGAAGTATACAAGTCCGCGTAGCGAGTCATTCTGCGTGTAAATGACGAAGAATTGTGAAACGTTCGAAACATACTTCCAAAGTAAGGATTGAATGCTGCCTTTAATGATATCCTGTTTAAAAAACATAACTTTTAATTTTTTTTTAAATATATCCAACCAAACATAAACATAAAAATAAGAAGTTTAAACTTTACCTCAAACGTTTCCGTTCTAGTCTCCATTCGAATGCAAGATTTTTAAATTCAATACTGTCTCGACACTATATTGAGATTTTCGTTTAACAAGAAAATATCAAATGATAACAACATTAAAATGGTTAGAATAATATTTTTTGTTTATGTAAACAAAATATCAAAATTAAAAAATCAGAACGTACAAGAATTAATGCAAACGATAAGTTTAGAAGTTAAACAGTTTTTGTTAAAGATAATAACTATTCAAAACAAGATTTGTAAACAATTATGAATAGAACATTGATCTATAAATGCAGCTTGTTTTAAAACAAGCAGACTGATTTCATCAAGCATTTGTTTTTGTTAGTTTACTTTCATTGATACATTCTTGCATTTTTCGCGGGAAAAACAAATTTTGAATAATAATACATGTACTCTTCCCATTTATAGTCCTGTGATAAATTGCCATTTTTATATTAAGTTTTTAACCAGTAATATGCTAAATACTTAAAAAGCTCATTCAAAACTTTATTAACTTGATTACCAATCTAATTAGCGGCGATTAAACGGAAAAAATTTATTTGAAAAATTTGAAAAAATTGTAAAATCAAATGTAAACATACAGTATCGGACAAAACAAGTGCAACCAAATAATGCTAATTTAGTTTCTTTATACCAAAGTGCTGCATTTTTTCAATTTAGAGAAATAACTATGTAATTGTTTAGAGACAACGTTTTTCAAGTTTTAAATCATCACAAAGTTCATTATTTGTACACGAAAATTAATAAATTAATCAAAAGTATTAAAAAAAGTTGATTTCCTTCTGGACAAAACAAGTGCAACTCCACAAAATGTTGACCAAGCTGTATTTCGCTATCAATATATCGTGGCTAATTCTTTGTTGTCGATCACAGCCTTGCATCTTCGAGGCATAGATTCGATCAGGTTATCAATACTGTTTGTACAATACTGTTTTTGGTCTTTAAAATAGCTTACTTCCAGAAATGGAAAACGCGAGTTTTCCATGTCTGAAACTCATGTCTATAAACGTTCCTGGAAACTACAGTTTCTAGGAACGTTTATAGGCACGAAACAAAAACTAATTAAATATGGTGAAAAACCTTCAAATTTTTGTATAACTTGGAAAAAACTCAATAGCGGAACAAGTCATTTACCAAAACTCGTTAGAATGATGGTACATTCAGGGCCGGCGCGACTAGGTGTCACGTGGGGGGTGCCATTACAACTTTTGCCCACTAAAAAAAAAAAAAAAAGGTCCTCGTTTTCCAAAATTTGCCGACTGCCATGACAACATTTGCCCACTGTCTAGATTACCGACTAACCTAAGGGTTATCGAAAGGGTCGACATTTGCCTAAAAGGGTCTAAAAGGGTCCAATTTGCCGAGTAAGGATCCAATTTGCCGATAAAAAATCATTGATGGGGGGGGGGGGGGGGAAGGGGTTTTACACACACACACTTCGCACGCTCCTATCGCGCCGGTTTGGGTACATTGACGAGTGAACATGGTGAAATATTTACAAATGAACCTGTAGAAATACTTAAAAGTGAACCTGGTGAAATACTTTCTAATAATATAGTTATTTCAAACAAAAAATACATTTCCAAACCTTTGTTCCATATTATAAAACTTTCAATAAAAAAAGGAATTTTTTCTGAAGCATTAAAGTTGGCAAAAGTATGTCCAATTTACAAAATTAATTATCAATCTGAAATATATAATTTTAGACTTATATCAATACTTTCTGTGTTTTCAAAAATATTTAAGCGTGTAATTTATAATAGAATCTATAACCATTTTAATGAAAATAATTTATTTTACACAAAACAGTTTGGTTTTCGGAAAAAACATTCAACAGAACATGCAATAATTAAAATAGTAGACCAAATTACTCAAAGACTTGAAAATAATTGCTTTATTCTAGGATTATTTATTGACCTATTAAAAGCATTTGATACGGTTGATCACCTAATTCTTTTAGAAAAATAAAACACTACGGAGTGATAAATAAAACCCATAATTTGTTAAAAAGCTACCTCAGTCAAACAAAACATATGTTATAAATCAAGGAATCTTTTGATTGTTTGCGGAGTTATACAAGGGTCAACTCTCAGTCCATTGCTTTTTTTGATTTATGTAAATTATTTAAATAATGCATCAGCAAAGCTTAACTCAATAATATTTGCTGACGATACAAACTCTTCCTTTCAAACTGTGACATTAATTAACTGTATTCTGACATGAACTTCAAACTAAGTTGTTTGGGAATTTGTTTGCAAATTCCCAAACAACATTCCACGGTTAAGTTTTTTTTATATCAGTAGCTGTATCCTAAAAATGTACTATCAATTTTTAAGTTTTTTGAAACTGTTTTTTGAAACTTAAATAATTTAATTTTTGAAACTTAAATAATTTAAAAAAAGAGAAGCAGGGAAAGGTATTAATGAAAAAACGGCTTATCAACAAAAATAATTTAAATTTTTTCAGAGAACAATTATCACATATAGATTGGGGTTATATTAACTTTAATGATAATATCAACATAATCTACGACAATTTTTTCAAAACTTTTTACCAAGTATATGATTCCAACTTTCCTTTAACTGAAATAGTTTTAAGTGATAAAGAAATGTCATCTCCCTGGATTACTAAAGGTATCAGAAAATCATCAAAAATTAAGCAGAAGCTATACATTAAATACCTAAAATCAAAATCAGAAAAACATAAACAAAATTATAAAACTTATAAAAACTTATTTGAAAAGCTTCGCAAAAATGCAAAAAAAAACTACTATTCAAACTTGTTTAATAAATATAAGCACAACTCAAAACGCGTCTGGCAAATCATGAAGGAGGTGTCTGGAAAACTTAAACCAAATAAAAATTTACTCCCAAATTTTATACAAATTGAAAACAAATTAATAAATGACCCAAATGATATTGCATTTGAATTTGACAAGTTTTTCTCCACTGTCGGGACAAAATTAAGCGATAGTATTTCATTCATTAAAGATAAATCTGTTGATGAGTTTGAAACATCAATAAGTTCTAATCTAAATTTTACTGAGTTAGCTTTTAATGAATTTGAGGTTGCTTTTAAGTCATTAAAACGAAATACAGCTACTGGGTATGATGATATTAACACAAATATTGTGATTGATTCATACGATGTTATAAAAGATATTCTATATAAAATCTTTAGAGCATCCATTTCACAAGGGTCTTTTCCAGATAAACTAAAAATAGCGAAAGTAACTCAAATCTTCAAGACAGGGGATCGTACAAATATAACAAATTATCGCCCTATTTCAGTTCTTCCAGTTTTTTCAAAAATTTTAGAAAGAATAATGTACAACCGAATCTACTCTTATCTTGTTGAAAATAAAATTCTATACGAAAACCAATTTGGTTTCAAAAAAAATAATTCAACCGAGCATGCCATTCTTCAACTTACGCGCAATATAACCGACTCATTTAAAGACTCTTGTTTTACACTAGGAGTGTTAATTGATTTGTCCAAGGCATTTGATACCGTCAATCATCAAATCCTGTTAAAAAAACTAATATCATATGGTATTAAAGATAAAACCCTATTATGGTTTGAAAGTTATCTTACTAACCGTAAACAGTTTGTTTACAATAAAGATTCTATATCTCATTTATTAATGAATATAACATGTGGTGTTCCACAAGGATCCATACTTGGTCCTCTTATTTTTTTAATATACATAAATGATCTTCATAAATCATCAAATTTAATAACAATAAATTTTGCAGATGACACAAACTTGTTTTTGTCTCATAAAGATATTAATATGATTTTTACAAATATGACAAATGAATTAAAAAAAGTTTCTGTTTGGTTTAAACAAAATAGATTGTCTCTAAATATAGAAAAAACTAAATGGACACTTTTTTATCCACCTTTAAAATACCAGAAACTTCCCCATATCATGCCAGACCTTCTAATTGATAATATAATAATAAAAAGAGAAAAAGTTACTAAATTTTTTGGAGTATATATTGATGAAAAACTATCTTGGAGAAATCATATTGATAATACCTCCAATAAAATTGCTAAATGCATCGAAATTCTCTATAAAGCAAGAAATATATTAAGTAAACACCAGTTAACACAATTATATTATTCAATTATACATTGTCATATAAACTACGCGAATATTATATGGAGAAGCACTCACAGAACAAAGCTAAAATCTCTTTACCTTCATCAGAAACACGCAACTTGCGTAATAAATTTTAAAAGTTGGTTTTTTCACACGAAACAACTTTTTAAAGAAATGAATATCTTAAATGTATATCAACTAAATGTCTTTAATATTTTATGTTTCATGTTTAAATGTAGAGAAAATTTGTCGCCAAATGTATTGCAAAATTTTTATTGTATGAAACCTAAAAACAAATATAATTTTCGAATTAATAACAGTCTTATTGCCCCTTTTTGTCGTAAAAGCAAAGACCAGTTTTTTGTTTCTTACCGAGGTCCTTATCTCTGGAACAAAATAGTCTTACCAAATTTTGATTTTTCAACCCAAATGACTTTTGCTTCATTCAAACAGAAACTTAAAAAAATTAAATTTTTAATTGAAAATATCTTGATTTATTTTTAATTGCTTTTTTTTTTGTTTTGCTTTTGTTGTTGTTTTATTTTGTATATTATTTGGTTTAAAATTTTATCTTGGCTTTTTAACATTTTATCTTGGTTTTTAATTATTTTTGCATAGAGGTGTATTATTATTACACTACAGACATTGTATTTTTATTAAAAGTTAACCATATATTGTAAAGGGCTTCATGACAAGATCCTCATGATCTTCTAGATGTCCTGTCGTTACTAATGTAAAAAATTGTAAAATATATTTAGTTATTGTAATATTAAACGGCAAAAATAAAAAAATAAAAAATAAAAAAAAAATAAACAAATAAATTCCAAAATTGCAATATCCCCATAACATTTTAAAATAGAATTAAATGATTTTATGACAATATTTGCAAAATGTTGTCTCTTGTTCACGATCGTTCAATATTGATCCCCGGCGGACATTTATAGTGCGCAAGCGTTTACATGGACTTAAGTAAAATCTAGAATTTCCACATTTTTTGCAGGCGACGAGAATAGGATCACATTTTAAAACTATTATATTTTATACTTATTAATGTTGTTTTATATCATTTAAAGATTTTATAAACATTTAAAGGACCAAAGATTATATTTAAATAAAAGAATTCCTGCTTCAATCGGTTTTTGGCAATCTTTGACTGGCTTTAAAAATCTATATTAAAAAAAAAAAAATGTTTTTCAAACTTGTGTAACTTTTTTAAATCAATTTTTTGTTTCAAGAACTAAATTGTTTATTAAACTAAAATTTAAATATTTTCAGAAATAACTAAATTTATTTACCAGCCATTTTTTTAAGTTTTAGAAATTTTAAAATAAAAAAATTCACCGAACTACCTAGTATGGCGACTGCTACTTCTGCTAACCACATTTTGTGTCTTATCAAACTATGCAGACTATGTGGAAATTATATTGGAACTGACTCATTTAATGTAATAAATATAATAGCAAGAGTTGACCAAGCATTTTTTACCGAGGTAGGAGAAGACAGAACGAAGATCCACCCACCAAAAATTTGCATGAAATGTTATACATTAATGAGACATATTGAACAGCGAGGAACGACCTCTTTTAATTTCATTTTAACAAGCTGGCCGCATACGTGCTCACTTGAAAGCTGTATATGTTTTTTAAAGAAATCTGGCAGAAAGAAAAAGAAACCATTTGGAAGACCACCATCAGTTAATAAAGATGTTTGGACAAGGAAATCAATTAATGAAATATTAGACAGTTTTTCTGAAATGCCTCGCTTATACTATGAGTCTATCAGTATAGTTAATAACCCCCACAAAGATTTATGCATCTGCAAGATTTGTAAAAGAATATTTCATCGACCTGTTTTACTTAATAACTGCCAACATTTATTTTGTGCTTCATGTATTTTTCCAAATTTAGTTGGAAAATTAGAGACAGAAGCAAAATGCAAGTTATGTGGCTCTAATATATCTTTAGATAACATTTCAAAAGCAACAACTATGCAAAATATCCTTGAAAATATAGTTCTAAAGTGTTCCGAAAATTCATGCAAAAGTATAAGCAATAAGGAAGAACATGAACAAGTATGGAAAAGTGGAAAGATATTACCCCAATGTTTAGCATCGTCTTCTTCTTCATTGACAGTAACAGATATTTACAAAATTAATACAAATAGTGATATTCCTAAAGAACTAGAATATGCATTTGCTCACTTTGCAAAGCTAAAAATGGCAAAAAACAATTCACATTCATTTGAACTTCCTTCTGGCGGTCCAAGGGTAAGAAATTAAATTTTTTTAACAAAAATATTATTAGTTAAATTTATTATAAATAATGTATTTGCATAAAGAGTAATTTTTTTCACTAATTAGGCTACACAGTTTTCAGTGACTACAAAGAGCTTTAAAACATCAACTGAGATTAGTCAGAAAACCATTTATAGACGTCAAAAGCAACTCCACCAATCGCTAATAGATAATGCAGGACCAACAAAAAAGGCAAAAATACAACAAGTAGCACTTATGCTCAATTCTTTTAATAAAAACGATAAAATTGATATTCTAAAAAAATCAAATCTCTCCCAAGTTGAGATAGGACCAGAAGATATTGTATCACTTAAAGCAGACTGTGGTTTACCTTGGGAAAAGATGAAAAAAATGATAAGGTATATAACATTATTTTAATAAAAATAAATTATGCATAAAACAATAATCAAGTTATTTCAAATTACAAATTGCATATATATTTATCAGCATTTTGTTGTCTTTATTTTTTTTTTCATTTAATTTTTCAAATTAAAAAAACTTTTATATTTCAGATTTTTCCAGACAAAAAATGTCAAATTACCCTCACTTTCTAATCAACGAAAAGTTGCAAAATATTGGTCAGGTAACGATTTGATTGTTGAAGATAAAGAACTGCTGTTTAAATTAAAAAACAAAAAAGGAACTTTTGAATTGAAAGATACACCTACAGCATATATTAATGATTTGCCATCACATTTAATTAAGGTACTGGATCAGTTAGAAAGGTAAGTTCAAAATATAAGAGACTAATGTAATGTTTATTAATTCTTGTTAAATATGCAAGAAAATTGAAAATTTAATGTTTTAAACAAAACTTAAGAAGTGTAAATCATAAATTGTGCAAATATTATATCTCTGCATAAATTGTATATATTTTTTTGTTATAAATATATTTTCTTTCTTTATTATCATAGATATAACCAACTAACATTTGAAAAGATAACTCCTAGTGAAATACATATAAAGATTGGTGGTGACCACAGAGGTGGTTCATTTAAAATGAGCTATCAGGTAGCTAATGTTGCTACACCCAATTCAAAAAATAATACGACTGTTTTCAATATATTTGAGGCCAAAGATTATAGAGCAAACCTCAAAATTTCACTCTCAAGACACATAGATGAAATTGCTTCAAGCAATGAAATGGAGGTGAATAAAAAAATATTTCAAAAGTTTATTTGGATAAGAAATGTTTGTAAAATAAAAAACATAGATATTTTAATAAACTTTTATTTGATTTTAATACATTCTCATTTTAGGGAAAAATGTTTGCGTGTATTTATATTTGGTGATTATGTATTTTTGTGTGCTATTTATGGCATCACAGGAGCAACTGGTTAGCTTATAGTTTTGTATTTCTTTTAGCTTATATTCTTATTTTAATTACTAAAAATGTACACAAAGAGCATTAAAAGTAATATTATGAATATTTAATTTAACAGGTCGTCATTGCTGCTTATTCTGTGAAATCACATCAAGTGAAATGCAATTGAACATTGAAGCTAGAACGCGACCGATTCTTTTGAGAACGCTTGCAACTTTAAAATCAGATTATGAACGATTCAAAAATGATGGAGGCAATATTAAACGTGCAAAGAATTTCAATAATGTAATTGATGAGCCGTTATTTGATATACCAATTGAACAGGTGTGTGTTAATTGTTGCCAAAGCATTAATGCCAGTAATATAAATATAAATGCAGGTCTGTGGTTAGGCTACCCCAAACCAGGGGCAGCAAATTGTAGAGGCCCCTTTCCACAATTTAAGTAGCTTAATTTAAGTAGTATTAAATTTGATTTTTTATTTTTTTAGAAATACATTAAATAATTGAATGTTTTGAAGATTTTATTGTTATTAAGATTAAGATTGAGGCTGTGTTTTTTTAGAGGGGGGGGGGTCCTCTAGGGGAGTCAGAAAGAAAAATGAAAAAAAAAACTGAAATGATGTAAAAGAAGAGGAGTTGATTAAAGAAAACCGTCATTCACCGTCAACCATCAATTAGATGTTCTGAAGTAATCAAATACTTTTGGACAAATAGAATCTCTTTCTTCTATCAAGTTACTCAACAGAATCAATCTGCATTTTGCTTCGCATTTTTAATACGATCCCGGCTTCAGTGACTGAAGGAGAGCGCCCTTTCAGTAAGTTTGCTCTCATCAAATCCAAGTTACCATATATATTCTATATGCTGACAATACTTTCATGCGCACCATAACCATAAATCTTGAAAATTTACTATTTTTAGGTCCTCTATATAATAGTATATACTTATATATAGGCACTATATATATATATATATATATATATATATATATATATATATATATATATATATATATATATATATATATATATATATATATATTTGTCAAGTGAATTTGATAAATATGTGTATATATATATATATATATATATATATATATATATATATATACATATATATATATATATATATATATATATATATATATATATATATATATATATATATATATATATATACACATATATACATATATATATATATATATATATATATATATATATATATATATATATATATATATATATATATATATATATATATATATATATATATATATATATATATATATGTATATATATATATTTACTTATATATATATAGCTATTATGCAATTGTTAAAATCATTTTATAGATAGCAATACCAGCTCTACACATCTTATTGGGAATATTTCTAAAATTCTTCAAAATGTTAGAGGTAGAATGTCATCTCCTTGATATCAAACTAGCTGGATTTCTAGCAATAAATGATAAACACCTTGAATCAAGTGAATTTGACAAATATGTTGAGAAGCAGGCAGAGATACATCAATTAGAATATGACGTTGATGATATAAATACAAAAATACTTCTTATTCAAGATACAATAGTCGTTGAAGTATTTCGCAGCCCTAAAAATACAGAGTACTTGCAGTTAATGTACTCTGAGAGAATTGCATTGTTAAAATCGAAGAGAATAGAAAAGGTATCAACATTAAATAGTACTGGAAATTATTTTGAGAGGATAGTTTTTTTTAAGGGCATTTTTTTTTTTAATATTTCAATGACTGTATTATCTGGATTTTGTATACATCTATATTTATATTTAATTTTGAAGGAAGGAAAAATTGCGGAATGCTCAAAATTTAAGTTAATAGAAGAAATGGGGCCAATATTAAAGGAAATTGAATCTGTTTTGCAGTCATGTGGAGTACAACGTCAAGCTTATCACAGTTGCTCGTTCGTTGGAAATCATGTTCACAAAATGTTAAAGGTACATGTTTTTGTATACAAATCTATGTTTTTAGGCATTAAAATTTTGCCATCTCTGCATTAAATAATTTAGTTATCATTCCAAATAATAGTTCTACTATAATACCTATATATAAAAGTATATATATATGCGTATATATGTATTTTATTTTTCAGGTTGATAACATAAAAAAGTTATGTGACTCAATTTCTCAAACAGTTTTTAATAATATAGCAGATAGAGAACATCCAATTTATATGGAGGCGGTTGACATACAGCAAAAATTTAAAGCATTATTTCACAAATATTCAAAGTGCGACAATGAAATGAATTCATGTCACTTATTCAACGAAGAAAATATAAAGAGTTTCGGTGAAAATTTTTATTATAGAAGTAGTTTTTTATTTGCAGAAGTAGTCTTTTTTTAAGGAGTATTATAATCTTTAATAAATAGTGATGAAGATATTTTGCCATATATATAAAATATATAGTATTATTATTATTATTATTTTTAATACTTGTTAATTTGTTTTGTAGAAACAGCTGTATGCGAACTAATGAAGTTTTTTAGAAGCACTTGGCCTAATGAGTCAATAACTCCAAAAATGCACTTGTTGGAAAATCATACTGGAGTTTTTTTGAGCACATGAGGAGTTGGCCTTGGGCTATATGGGGAGCAAGGTGGCGAGAGTATTAATGCCGAGTTTAATAATATTGGAAGAATATACTCAACCATGTCTGGTACGAGAAAACTAGAATGTATCATGAGAGATCATTTTATAAGAAATAATTTAATTGCGAGTTCGTTAAAACCGCCAATCGTCCCTCGAAGAAAAAAAATTATATAATAAAATTTATAGTTTATATATAATAAAGTATTTATGCAAATTATTATTATGCAATAATTATGTAATTATCAAATTTATTGTTTAATTTATTTATATATTTATTATGTTTATATAAGGTTCTTAAAGATTTCGAAATAGGTCGGCCCTATTATTTTACGATTAGTAGAAAATTAGCGAAATATTAGCCAACTTTCAAGCTTCAAATCTTTTTGTAAAAAAAATGGCTGGTAAAAATAATATGCTAAATAATATAGCTCAACCTTTATTCTTTCAAATGATATATAACACTTTTTTATAAAAATTGATCTTCGTAAGTTTTATTAAAGAATAAGACAGATAGTATAATCTGCGATAAAATCTCGGTTAACTTGACAAGTGAATTTAAGGTTCATGTGTGGTTTTTTTTGTTGTGTTTTTTTTTTTTCTACTTACTAAACTTTTAGTTGATAAAAATAATTTTTATTAATGAGTTTTATTTTATTCGTATCGTGTATACCTTAGATTTAAAATACCTCCAAATGCTCGGTTTTCGAGGCAAGTGAAATAACAGCTTTAGCTGAGCATATTAATTTATAAGTAATGCGTCTGCGCACTATAAATGTCCATTGCGAAACGACCGTGTGTTAGGATATTACAGTTTATTCAGTTTCACCAGTCTTCTTTTCCTCTCTTTTACTAAAATTCAAAAAAAAAATTTATTTAACCGAAACTAATTGTTTATACAAAAAACTTTTTCTCTAATTCTTCATATAAGGCCAAATAGCCACACTCTTCCAGTCACTTCAATGATACAAGTCAGCTCAAACTGAGGGGTAATCTTTTTCAAAGCATCCTTATTTGACATAAGTTTAAACATATAATTGTTTGGAGCTTGCTTCGTGTCTTGAGGTTAGCTATCTCAAAGACCAAGAATTTAAAAATCTACCTAGCTTTATTTTATCAATAGATCAAGAAAAGGCGTTTGACAAAGTTGACCGTGCGTTTCTGCTCCAGATTCTCCGAAAATTCAATCTTGGAGAAAATTTTATATCTTTTATTAACATCTTATATTAAGAAGTTTCGGCATCTGTTCTGAATTGCGGCTTCCTGTTGGCTTATTTTCCTACTGAAAGGGGAGTTAGACAACGCGACCCTCTCTTTCTTTTGTTGTATATTTTTATTGCTGAAGCTTTAGCTTTGGTTATAAGAGCGGACAGCAGAATAGAGGGTTTTATTCTACCGGGAATACCGAAACCTCTAAAACTACAGCAGTACGCAGACGATTTGAACTTTTTTGCAAAGGACGTAAAATCTTAATAACATAAAACTATTTGAAAAAGCAAGTGGTTCAGTGATCAACGCCTCAAAAACCAAGAGTCTCACTATTGGGAGTTTTAATCCCAAAGTTTAACGAGAATTGGACGACATAGAGTGGAACGCATAGTTATCGAAATGAACAGACGCGTTTTTTTCTACAGCTTGTTTAAATTTTTTTACAAATATGAAAATTTGAATTAAAAACATAGAAAAATTAATTACCAACAAATTAGAAAAACAAAAAAAAATCTATTCTGAAAAAAAAAAAGAAAAGTTGTTAAAGGTACAAGAAAAAAGTTTTGCATCGATAATGAGTAAAATTTAAAAATATTAACGAACAGAAAAACTAGAAGTTTATGTAAACAAAACAAATGAGACGAATATTCAAAAAGATATAAGTGATTTTAAAAATACTCTAAATTTCCAAGAAACAAACTTAATAGAAAAAGCTGTACTAAAGGTGTTATGATGAGGATTTAAATAATCTATACAAAAAAACAATCGATTTAGAAAATAGATCTCGTCGAAATAATCTAAGAATAGATGGAGTGGAAGAAAAACTTAACAAAAGATTGAGTGACTGTGAAAATACAGTAAAAAATATTTTCAAAAAACAACTATAATTGACAGCGATTGTGGAAAGAGCTCATCGGGTTGGCAAATCAAGAGATAGTAAACTTACAAGAACAATAGTTTTGAAGATTTTAGATTACAAAGACAAAAAGAAAATTCTAAACGCCGTAAAAAACTTGCGTGGAACTGGTGTGAAGATTTTGTGAAGGAAACTATTGAGAGTCGTAAAAAGTTATGGGAGGAAGTAAAAAGATTACGCAGTGAAGGCAAGTATGCTGTTATAAAATATGATTGAATTAATTATGAATTTTTTGCAGGGAATAAGAAACCCAAACATTACGTTTTAAAAAGAAATTTTTCTAAAAATAAATCCCCCTTAAAAAAAAAACATGGCTGGGACTAGTGACTTTGAAGCCATAAAATTCAACTTTTCTGAAATAAATAATAATGAAAATATAAAACCCGATATAAATTTTTTACACGACACGCTTATGGATTGCTCACTATCCAAGCGATTTAGAAGGGTTTCTTTTTAAAAATGTTTGCGACAAAAATTTAAATAAAATTAAAATTCTCTACGTAAACTTTCGAAGCCTTAATAATAATTTTGAAAAAATTGTTTTTATATAATTTGTTTGACTGAAACGTGGATTTCGAATAATTCAAATATTAGGGGAAGTGGGGGCATAACCGCCCCCGTAACGTTTGAATAAATGTTATACGAAAATGAAAACGAAATGTGTTTTTTTAGCAGTTTATTTCAATAGCCGCATCATTAAGCTTTAAATCGATGCATTTAAGAAAAAAATTGAACGGGTTTTGAAAATGTTATTACACAAAAATTACACTTAGTGAAAAAAACGGTTTTGCCCCCATTGTGAGGCACAATCGCACCCTCACAAAAATCGTTGGGGGTTCACTGTTCTAGGTACATCTTTACAATTGTCATAGCTCAGATTATTTGCTGATTTTGTTGCACGTTTGTATACTGTGTAGGCATTCTTTGTACTTACAATCTCAGTTTTCTTATTCGATATACTCTTAGCTTTATCTTATTTCAAAAACTCATTTACAAAAATTAAATAAAAAAATACGAAATCTAATTTCTAACATTTCAAAACAAAACTTTTCTAACATCTTTTCTAACAAAAAACAGAACTTTTCTAATAAAAAACAAACTTTTTTAACAAAGTTTTTTTAACAAAACATTTCTAACAAATAACAAAACTTTTCTAACATCTTTTCTAACAAAATACAAAACCTTTTTTAACAAAACTTTTCAAAACTTTTCGGACAAAACTTTTCTAACAAAAAAACTTTTCTAACATCTTTTTCTCAAAACAAAACTTTTCTAACATCTTAAACAACTTTTCTATCATCTCAAAGCAAAACTATTCAAGTTTATACATGAACGCATTCAAATGTGACGATTGTAATTGTTGTTATTTGTAATTACATAACTTTGATAAATAATAAAAGTATGCGGTTGTGCCTTCTGTGCGTCCAAGGCCGGCGCGATAGGGGTGTGTGGGGGGTGTGACACCCCCTCCCCCATCAATGATTTTTAGTCGGCAAACTGGACCCTTAGTCGGCAAATCGGACCTTTTTATACTAGTTAGTCGGCAAATGTCGACTAACTAGTATAAAATTTTTTTTTTTTTTTTTTTTTTAGTCGGCAAAAGTCGTAATGGCACCCCCCCCCCACGTGACACCTACTCGCGCCGGCCCTGTGTGCGTCTATACGGTTCTGCCCCAGTGGACAGTTTTTAGAAAGAATTCAGTTTCATAGCTTGCTTATTAGGTTATGTTGATATCAAAA